GAGATATAATGGGAGATATAATGGGGCAAACTTATCCCATGGCACGAATCACGCAAGTCATTTCATCGGTTCGCGGTACATTTTGCTGCGGCTGGAAGCAAGAGGTTTTAAAGTAACATTTGAAAAAAGCTTGATAGGCAGCAATTCTCGAGTTTATGGGACAGTTTGTTATATAATTTGTACGAAAATCACGCAAATTTAAACGAAATCGACTCGAAACGTTCCTCGAGTCGTTCCCCTCAAGGTCATATTTTGCATCCTGGAGTGACGGGCTTTGTGCACGCTCTCAGCTTTATCTTTTATTTCCTTCAGAGAATCTTTTTCAATTTCCCCAATTTAAGTGGGATAAATTGTTCACTAAAATTATGCAAAAAATTTAGCTTACCGTGCTCATTCAAGAGCTAAAGACAGTCGTTCCTCTTTAGCTGGTGCATTAATTGAAAAACAATACTGTATTCTTGGAATGCGCGCGCGCTTATTCGCCTGATTACGTGTTTTGCGCGCAGTAGAGGAAATTATTTTTATTTGTGTTATTTCCATGATACTAATAAGAAAAACACAGGCGTAATTCATTAAATCACCCACTGCCAATGCTTACCATTTTTAATCAGATTATTCCAGTTCGACAAAGCTCCTTCACACAAAATCACAGGCGTCTTTTTACTCCATTTGTTACAGCTGGAAATAGATTTTTAACTCAGAATCATTGATTTCCCACTGTGAAATATAATCTCTTTTCTTTTAAATCTGAGTGAATTCTAACTTGGGAACGGGTCGCACTAAAGCGAATTCCAATATTATCCAATTTTTCTAAAACCAAAAAATGGCAAAATTTTTCCCGCCCTTTCCAAATGTTGGCAGCGGTCTCATCAAACTAATATCTCTTGACCAAATCTTCACTGATTGATTCATATGTCAATGACAAATCCATCTTGCTCTAAAATGGGATGAAAAAATCTCGCGCGAATTGCGGACTAACTGATCCTTTTTTCCGGCTGATCTTTTACGTTTTGGTTGACACTTGCGCTACTTGTGCTGACTTCAATACTTGCAACGGAAGGAGAATTTCTCTTTGAAGCCATATTTCCGCCAGATTGCTGTCAGTATAACATTAACTTGGATACGAGATACAGATATCCGAATACAATGGGCGCTCAAATTAGTCTCCCTCGATAGAGAAAGAGTCAGATCCTGCCATCGGACGCCAAACTACTAGACTAACGGACTTGTATTCTTTTTTCGATTAAATTTTATCTAGACATATCTTGGATATTACGACAGCTAAATGCCTAAAAAAATATGAATTTTTGTCTCGCCAAAATTTGGAAGCCTCCGAGGCAGGACAGGTTCTTTGAAGATCGGCGAAATTTTGGCGATTTGCAAAAATTTGGCAAGTTTTTTAAATTGTGGTCGCACTTATTTTACGCTACATGTTGACAGAATTTTCATTTAAACAAACAAAAAGAACTCTAGTACGACCCGGACCTTACATCTAAAAATCAAATAGGGAGAAAGAGCTCTGGTGAATAACCATGCATAAATTAGGGAAGAGCAGAAAAGCTGGTGGTCTTGCCTACTGTAAATATGCGTAATGTTTCAATTTTTTTTTCATCGTTATTATTTTATTTTCTTCTCTTCCCACGAACTGATACTCTTTCTAGTCTATTGCGATGAATTTTTCAAAACTCAAATACGCTTAGGGCTACCTAAGGTTGAGACACACATTAATCAAAGTGTAACTGGCTCATTACAATCAAAGTTTCGGACCATTAGAAAGAAATTGTTCGCAGGGATGGAAAAGTGAAACCAACTCGAAGTAAACAAGCATTAATACGAACAAACGAAACAGCCAAACCTAATCTATTATTGAATTAACGCTGTTCCATGTTCCGCGTTCAGTCTTTTCCGAGAACATTCGTTTCTACAGTGAATGAATTTTGAAGACATTCAACATGGCACGAATCGATAGAACTGTGCAGATACAGGTAGGCGATAACATTTTACCGTCAATCGTTTATTGCCTCTTATTTACGTTGCAAATTACGCAACGTGTTATATTGGGTTAAAACATGCGGTTTACGGACAGCCTTTACTGATGGCTACCACTACATGAGCGAGTGTTATGGGAATTTATGCGGCTGCGATAGCCAGATACGGGCCCAAACAAAGTCAAGGGTTTGATTTAAATTTCAAAAGCCTCACTAAATCGTACCGCAAATTTGAGTCATGTATGAAATAAGAGTTCACTAGAAAACAAACCAATTCTGAAAGAGATGCAAGTTGTTTTAATTTGAATAATGAATATCTTTATAATTTTTCCAATTTACAAATCTATTACCAGCTTTGTTCAGCAGTACCTTTGCCTCGCCATAAGAGTCTTCCCCGTAAATTTCCCGCACACAAATTATGGCCGATAATTTACTGTAAAACTTTGCACTTTAACACGCTAAATGGCAAGGTTGTTAAAATCGCACCAATTACTTTACAAAACCCGAAAAAAATGATAAGAATAAAGAAAACCAACTTTCCCTTATCAAGTTAACAATTAAATTTATCATTAGGTCGTAGATGAAAGAAACCCTGCAATTATCTAAAATTACTGCTCAGAAATACTTTAGATGCCCTTGCTATAAGAAAATCACAGCATCTCAACTGTTGACCACAAAGAGAGATTGTTCACCCTTCACACCATTACATCAGTAAGTATATTCTCCATACAACTCTCTATACATTTCCTAAGGTGCTGACAAGGAGAATTTGTTTAACAATCAAAGCTTCTTAGGTTGGTGATCATTCCTTTATTCTCATGATCTTTATGATTGATCTAGCAGTATTACTGCAAGGAGAAATTAGATGCTGGTCACTCTTAGGATTTAACCTGTGAAAACCAAGACAGAATTTCTCCTTACAATATCAATACAATATAAAACAGACAAGTGATGAGAATAAAGAAAAATATAAATTAGCAGGTTATTAGTTGATCCAAAACCAAATTCTCCAAACTCACATCATAAGAATTGTACTGCAGACAAGAAGGAGAATTATTAATGAGATCTTGAGAGTGGAAAGTTCAAAGGGTTAAAACACATTTCCTCATGACTTTGTAACAATATCAAATGGTCAAGTAATGATAACTGACGACAACAGAAAGATTTCTGTATAGCCCCCTTAACCCTTCAACTTCCAAAACTATCTTGATCTAGCACCATGCTCTCATAACTAATTTACAAGGAAATGTGTATCAGCTAGAAGGGAGAATTGACAATCAGATCTTGGAAATTTAAGGGGTTAAACAAAGCCGTATTCCCAAAAGCATTCTATGGTTTTCAAGAACTGTATGCATGATGGAGTTTTGGGGTTGTGCAGAAACTTCGCCAATATGAGTGTAAATGTGTTGTACAGATGATGCATCGAGGTCTCACGGGTATCAGAAATATTTACGTGTGTATCTCCGATTCTCTATTGTTTAGAACGATGTTTTACTAAATTACAAATTAAATTCGGGCGCCAAAGTTGTGATGGGATTTTCGAAACTCAGCCTGAAATAGTAGCTACCCACGAATACTCGAATCAAGTACTGAGATCTTTGTAGATTCTTTTCTTCTAAGGCAGATCTTGATCAAAAGTCAAAAGCTGTACAGATCGAAGTTAAAAAAGCTTCCAGATTGCACAAATTGGACGGACTTCATGCATTACTGTATAAATTTGCGTGATCTCGATCGAATATCAAGACCTATTTCCGAACTATATCGGGAAACTATGCCCCAATTTTTCATGGAAAAAGCTAACCTAAGTGCCTACCTTCGGCAAAATCTCTTTCTCTCCATCCCCTACGTCGACGCATCATAAAAACAGTGAAAATCTGCAAACAAAGTCGATCTACTTTCTACAATCGGTCCCAGCTTGGTATGACTTCATATTCATCTCATTCAAAGGTAATGGAATCTCACCCCATGCCTCCGCTCTGATGTCTAATCATAGGCGCGTCTAGCGTGTGAAGTGTACTTTTTTTTGGCTGCCTGAGTCGTGACTTATTAAAAGTTATTTGAAAAAGCTTTTTTTTTTTTGAGTAGTTTTCTAGTTTTAAGTATAAGTTAATCATATTTTTTACTTTCTGTGGTTTTAACTTCTCTCAGGACTTTCCTCTCCAGTAAGTTGTACACAAGGTTAGGGAAACAGGTAGTCGCGATATGTTTTTGTTTACAGCGAAAACTAGTGGATGCGTCAGAACTAGCCTGAAAAGCAGTCGTAACGCATAATCCATCCTTCTATTCGGAAAATGCTCCAAAGGTTAGCCAACTTCTCATATTCGTCACGGTTAGAGTTATTTATCTTTCTCGAGCAATCACAAGTTAAATACCAACAGATTGTTAGGATGGTCAAATGATTCAGAATGAAATTTGGAATACAAGTGCATGTAAATATTGACAACAAAGATTTTCAAGAATATACAAGTGCTAATCAGTTTATTTGCTTGATGCCTGTTAGTAACACAATTTTCATGTGTGAATTTTGCTGCGCACACCATTTGAACTTTCTGCTTTCAAGTTCAGTTTTCTGTACTTTTTGGGGTTATTTGATGCGCTGTAGGGCATTATTCCCGGCTTGCTTTTACTTTACGTTAAAAACTTATTACTAATTGTTTTACAAGCCAATGGACACCAATATTCTCTGTTTTAATATGAAAGAACGCATGCTGGTTTTCAAATAAGGTTGCAAAGCATACAAGTCAGTTTAGGACGCTCTCCAATGGGCACTGCCTGATTGTGTGCACTGACCTCCGTAGAGAACAAGAAAAAGAGAATTAAAGTTACAAAGGATCGTTCATAATTATTTCATGAATCCAACCGGGTGCAATGCAAGTTATAGACCGCATTAAGAAAAACTCGAATGTCAAACAAAACGGTCTCCATATTTACGAGTGACATGGAAATCATTCATTGCGCGAGATCAAGTTCTGTCAAGATGTGAAGTAAGAAATGAGTAGAAAGCAAATCACAATGTTTCCCAAAATTGTAACGAGGAACTTGAAATCGAGAATTATTAAGGTTCTTCATCCAACACGTTTGAGGTTTCCCACACGTTTCATCCCTTACGTTTGAGGTATGATCCTCTCTTTGTATTTCCGCGATTTTTGTCAGGCGAATTACTGAAAACGTTCATGATATTTTTAATTACTTTTCTCACATCCAAATTTAACAACTGGCTAGGGTTAAATTCCTTAATCGGAAAGAGATAAATGAGATGAGATGAGGCACAATCATCGCATATGTTTTTTGTTGTTTTTGTTGTTGTTTTTTTTTTTTCATCATCGTGGTACCATCGTATTTGTCGTGTGCTGGTTTTTTGGAAAAGTTTCTTCTCGTCAGTGTGAACGCGAACACTCCATATATGGAATGATGCTCAAGGGACATGTCTTCAAAAATGTGACGACTTTATCTTTATTTTTTATCTTTAGGCTTGGCTTGCAATACCGACGTCAGCTGTCGACGCATCAATTACGTTATTTCGCGCAACATGTATGAGTTGAATGATCGGACAAAAGAGGCGAGATCTGAAACTTTCGCTCCAGACACTGACAGATTCTATTTCAGAAGAGACAAGAATAGAATAGAAGTATAAGATACAACAATAAAACATATGAGCAGATAAAAGTAATAAAATGTATTTGGACGTCAATGTACCGGAAACGCATAAAAGACACAAAGGCTTTGGCAGGATTGCACCCTTTATTGTACTATTTTTCTTTATGGACAAGAAGGAGTGGTTTGGGTGCCTTTTTAAATGGGAATACTTTATTAAATTTGATGATGGTTGCATGGAGCAGTTTTCCATCTCCTTTTAAGGTCCTAAGTTTTCAATATCCATAGTTTCGAAATCAAAAACACTCCATCTCTTGCGTCCTTCACGAAAATAAATTAAAAAACAACTTGATTAACTATTATTAACTAGTTCCTTTTTTTTTCCTGCTTTTCACCCTTGATCCAAATCTGGCTTTACACCTACGACTGGGAATCATTCTCACTGATTTGTAGATGTTGGATCTCTTCGGAGAATTGAATGATGTCGGATATCGTGTACTCATTGCGCGATAATGGTTTTAACCTCTCGTCTAGCCACTTTGCCACAGCGTAGTTGTACTTATTTATTGCAGACAAGATGGGCCATAGTGAAGTGGCTAGACAAGAAGTTAAAACCATTATCGACCATGACGTATGACGTCACAGCCCTTTTTACTCACGTACCTCTAAGAAGAAACTACTCAGATTTGAGCAGAGAAAGCATTTGATGGAAACTGGTTTAACAACACACACAAACTTAACATCTGTGAAGGCGACCTAGTCGAGATGCTTACAATCGCAACTAAAGACAAACTCTTCCAGTTTAACGGTGATTTGTACAAGCAAATAGACGGCGTTGCCATGTGCTCACCATTAGGATCACTATTGGCTAACACCTTTATGTGCTTCATTGAGGAGAAACTTGCACATGAAGACAAGCTTCCCGATTTCTACAAAGGATACATCGACGATATCCTCGCTTTAGTACCCGACCTCGCCGCTGCTACCGATTTCCTTTCAGTTCTGAATGATGCACACTCAGCAATCCAATTTACAATGAAAACAGAGAAAAGACCAACGAAGGGCTTCTACTCCATTATCAGAGCCATATTGACAATAGATAATATAAAGATTTAGCCAAGCCTAAAAGCAGAGCTCGCATTTTTTTTTTCCCACACAACTTGTCCCGGCAAGGACAAGAACCCGGGTCGTCCGACTCGGAGCCCAGTGCACTGACCACTGGACTACTGAACAAAGCCGTGGCGTTGGCGTGCCCGCGGTACAGTTGACCACGCATGTCAAAAGTAGCACCTTGTACGGTCGTACGGTCGTACAACCAAATTTTTTCGGCTTGATGGGTTACTACTTTTTTTTTATAGTTATGGGGCTACGCTCTGCGAACTCCGCTATAAACGATACCTGATAAAAACTATGCTTGATCGCGCCAACCGTTTGTCATCCTCACCGGATCTTTTTTGAAAAGAATTTCAGGATCTGAGAACGATATTTCTGAAACTGAAATAGCCTGAAAAACTCATTGATTCTATTTTCCAGAGTTTCCACGTTTTCAAAACCTAATTGAGCTAGTCGACAGCCCTATACGAGTCACGTTGCCTTTCAAAGACCAGAAATCCGCCGACACCTAAGCGACGTTCGAAAGAAATCGACAGCGTACAACAACTAGTTTTCACAAGCAGGAAAATCTCGGAAGATTTAAAAGTCACGGTAACAAACCCTTCTTGGTAAACTTACAATGCGTTGAGTATGAATTTAAATGTAGTTTGTGTGGTGCGAATTATATAGGCTACACGAACCGTCACCTCCACCTTGACATTGAGGAACACAAATATTCCGTCATCGGTAAACATCTTAAGGACGAAAAAATCAAAGACCGAAAAATCTTCACGAGGGATTTGCCATCCTAGAGAAATCCCATTGAAAGTTTGAGTGCTTTATTCTCGAGATGCTTTTAACAAGGAAAAAGAGACCGACTCTGAACACTCAAAAAGACTCCATTCCAGCGAAACTGTTCATTTAATCATGTGCATTCTTTTGTGTTACTCCATCTTATTTTATTCTAATTTAGTTTCACACTTTCCTTTCTTTATAGAACGTCACCAAACTTATAATAATTTTTACATTTGATGATAATGACATCTCGTCGCCGAAACCTCATGTTTTCATCTCGCTACTTTTATGGAACCTTTCAAACTGAAAAGGTGTCTGTATTCCTAAAGAAGTGTTTGCCAAGGCCGGCATTCTCGCAAAATTTGAAGATTTGCGAAATATTTCACTGTCTGACATCAAGTTCTTTTTTTCCGGTTTAGAGAAACTTGAACAAATCAACTCCCCTTCCTCTCCCGTTAGAAGTCTTAGCGTACATTTAAAACAAATTTCTGGCCTTCAAGGCTAACATCGAACTCTTCTTTGCAAAGAAAGTAATTAACGGCAAAGAATGAAAAAGAAGAAATGCTTCGATTGATTATATAATGCATATATCGTTTTTCTCTATCAATTCACTCAATTTCACCTTTTCATCATTTTTACCCTTAAATTAAACATATTTTTTCATTTTCTTTCCGTGATTTGAAAAAATTGTAAGATCAATGTCCTCTTCTTCCTTCCAGTTTCTCTCGGTTTCCTTTTTGAACTACCCAGAGAATCCTGCGAAGAGATCAAAGCGAATGAAGGAAGACAAGCGGTCATCGGAATGTACTGGCTGAAGTCCGGTATACCAGAAACTCCTGTTCATGAATTTTGCAACATGGAATCGAAAGGTGAAGATTAATTTTTGTACAGTCCATAGAGAAAGGAGGCGAAAACTATCTGGACACATTTTAAAACAGACTTAGGTAGAATAACCAATTAACATTAACATGATATTCACTTTTCTCTTTCAACCTGTTTTAATTTAGTTTATGACCATGAAGCAGGAGTACCTTAAAAAGTTCATATTAATGATTAGATGATTTAAATATTATATAGTGATAAATGTAAGCACAGTTCGTTTTTTTTTTCTTTCTTTTTTTTTCTCGTTTAGTTTGCAAACCGATGGGAGTTGAAAGTGAGACCCTAATTCCCCACGCCCAAATAACTGCAAGCTCTCATTACATGTATTATTATGCACACAATGGACGTCTCAATGGAAATACGGGTTGGTGTCAAAAGACCTCTAAAATCACCGATGACTTCATACAAGTGGATATGGGAGTACTGCGCTGGGTGTGTGCGGTAGCCACCCGGGGGAAGAAAAACGGAGCACTTAAGAAGAGCTACAAGATTATCTTTTCGGCAAATGGACTTGAGTGGATGACACATCAAGAATAACAAGTTGACAAGGTGTTTATAAGTGAACACTGGATTAAAGTCACCTGAAAAAATTACAGATGCCTTTGTTCCTTTTCGCTCACTCAACGTTCGTGCCAAATTTGAACACGAGAAAATCAAATTTGCGCTGTTTCATACAACTTTCCTAGGGAAGCAAAGATTATTTCGAATAAAAGAAGCTTGCAATTGTTACGACTTCGGTCCACTGCCCTTAGTGCCACTAACACTGGAGCTTACGGCCGCCTGCAGTTGCTTGCGGCTGACGCTGCAGCAGTCTATTTGCATTTAGCTGTTCAGATCTTATGCTGCCCAGGAGAGCCCTATCTTACTTTGGTTTTTTTTTTCCAAATAGTTCTAGAGGAGATTTTTTTTCCATCTTCTTTTTCATGGTGCCAAAATATCACTGATTATTGATATTTGTTTGCAGGTATTCGAAGCCAGCAAGGATTTGACAACGGTGGTGAAGAACATTCTGAAAAACCCGGTACAAGCAAGATACGTTCGTTTTCAGCCATTAACTTTCTATAGCTATCCTTGTGTAAGGATTGAAATATTTGCTTATTACTAAAAAAAGGTCTGCTTAAATTTGAAAACTATATTTCCAATCCACAAATGTTTTTCCATTCTTGTTTAAGTTCTCGATATAAATGTTTTCGATTGTTTAGAGACATTTAGTAGTGAATATAAAGTCTAAGCTACATTATAAGCTGAATTATACTTTGATTGCTTCTCACTTAACATTCCGACTTGAAATTGATAAGAATTTCTTTAAGTTCAATCCCCCAACAATGTACATTATACTCTAGTTGATACAAGTGATGCGTGCTTAAAGGTCCGTCAGGAGGTAAAGATTACACCCGTCACCGAAAGACAGATCATAAGTACAGCCGAAGCAGTTGCTACGAAAATAACAAAAAACAGCTGTAAAAAAGTCCTGAATAATTTATCAGGTAGATACCAGTAAAGACAGCAAAGGAGCATAACAACTCTTACGCCAATTCTATCGAACTGCTTTACTGTTAAACAGAGTCTACTAACAATGGACAGAATTTAGATTTCCACCGTTTGTTCGAACTCCAGTATGACGTTACCCTAATGAGAACAAATGAGACCCATTACTTCACTTCGCTGAACATTTCGGATTCCCTCATACGTTTCATGGCTTCGTTAAAAATTACGAGGTACATCTATGATGGAATTCATTTAAGTGCAAGATAAATACGTTTACAGAAAAACACTTCAAAGGTAATTGCGTAATAATAACTTATAACAAAAGTAAACAGTTCGAATTTGTAGAAGGGCCTAACAACAATAACGCCAACTTTCTATATATTAACTAGAAAATAGTGATTCCAGTTACACTAATGGAAATCATTTCACAGGCTGTGAAACAATAGAAAATATTATTTCTCATTAGCTGTAAAATATTCGTTTGACATAGCTCAGGTCAAGTGACTTTGGTAATTTCAGAAAGAGATAGCCAGTAAAAACTAATTACAAGTTGTGAAACAATAGCCAAAATTAATATTACCGGTAGCTGTAAAACATTGGTTTGGCATGGCTTCAGTTCAAGTAGCAAAAAAAGCGAAACATCAGATCATGGTACTAAATCAGTGATTCTAAAAATTCCAGGAAGAAATAGCCAGTTAAAGGCTAGTATTAGGTCAAAAGAGTGAAGACCAAAAATAATTACTCAGCTTCATAGTCAAAAGAACATCCGAAAAAAGGAATATTGTACTTTAAAAGAAAATCAGTTTTAGCATATATAAAAGTTCGAAGTTAGCTATATCCCTTTGGGTTAAAAACCGTACCAGAAAGTATTATCTAAATTACTGCAATTGAATAAGTTGTTCCACGCGTATATACTTAGAAGCCAATCCCAAATGCAAAGCACTTCCTTTGACATAATACCTCTACACTTTCATTCTAAAATAAACGTGAACAATCCTTCAACTATTTGATTGATGTCAACAGTCAATTAATGCAACACCTGCCTACTAAAAAGGTTTAGACAATATTCAAGATAACTTAAACAAATCCAAAAACAAAATACCAATCCCAGTTTATTGTTTATAAGTTCAAATTAGTTCAACAGATCCCGCAATCTCATTATTTAACACTGTGCATAGTTTGACTCCTCTTCCTTTCTTTTAAATCTAGCTGCAACTTCTGTGCGGAAGGAGAAACTTTAGAAGTTACTTATTGACTTCTAACTGAAAAATTTGAACTAATATTTCGCTACTCTTATTTAGGATTGGTCTCTTAGAAATAACAGCTTAAAGTATTGAACCATCCCCTTAAGCAAACTGCGCTCAAGACCTCCAGTGGTTTCACTGATTTTCTTATTGAAAAAGTGACAACATCTCCAAACTATTTTCGTACTTAGACTTAAGTTTAAATGCAATTCCTATTTTACAAAGAGCCAGTCACTTAAATAAACTTGGTTAATGAAATTGCTTCAAGACTATTACCACAAATTAGGATAAAAACCACATTATCACAACGTCCATCGGCGGTATTTGGATGATCCATGACTTAAAATATTTGATGAGAGTTCTGAATAAAAATTGCTTGGTAGCTATTGTACCTTTTGAAAACCAAGAACCTTAGTGAGCAAGCCTCACTCCAAATAACAGTCGCCTTAATCACCTCCAGAACCCCATCTGGCTTATGATAAAATGATGCGATATCTCATTAATAAAATATATTGTTCGTATGTTTTGAGACCCAACCTCTTGTTTTACTAACTCCTAAATTAAAAGCATTCATACATTAAAGTTATGCATACTTATGCTATAAAGCCGATTTTAAAATCAGATAAGTTAAAATATATCAAATTATATCAGTGACTATGGCTCTTTACGAATTACCATAAAATAAGCGTATACCTTTTCGAGTTAAGAGTTCACTTTCACCTTGCTAAACGGACCATTTTGCTTGTAAACTCCTAAATTACGATGAAGTATTTTGCTCAGTCTCTTAACTATTTCAAAGGTGAAACAACACTTTCCATCGCATTACATAGATTTATCACAACAAGGTCCATTCCAGTATTAGTCTAGGTTAAAGAACAACGATAATTCTACTTTGAATCCACCTTATTTGTTCAGCAACCATCTAAGGGGAGAAAAAAAGAGTCAGCAACAACAAAAAATCATGTATTTTGAGAAATAAAATAAAGTCATGGTGTAGTTTTTTGAAAACCTCGGCCCTCTTCTCCTTTTTTTCCAGGCAAGTACAATTTACAGCTGATACGGTGGCTAGAAAAGTCACCTTTTTCCTCCACTAATCTACAAATTCTTCCAGACTGCGAAATGTGACCTTATCCAATGTTTAAAAGCCCCTAACCAAGGCCCAGCTATGGCAGCTGCGAAATCTCGAATAAAATGGTTAAAAAATAACTTCTGCCGCTTGTAATGATTGAGATTTTAGAAGGTGGGTGAGAGATTCATATCGCAAACAAAAATGCAAAAGCATAATATTTGTAAGATTTGATGTTAAAAGGCAGTTTAAGCATCCTAGAGAAAGTCTGTTAAAAAAATCCCAAAACAAGTAATAATTACATTGAGCAGCAACTAGATTGCATTGGCTCCATTCAGCTCAAGAGTGACATCATCCCCAATGAGAGCAAATGGTGCCCAATGTTTCATTTCCCTGAAATCTCCAGACTCTCTCATACATTTCATGGCTTGGTCCAGAGCTTCACAGACCCTTCTTCCTCTAACTAGTTCTTTATAGAAATGTTTCATGAACTGGAAAGTGGCCTCGTCATCAATCGCCCACAGGGACACCAAAACGGAACGAGCCCCGGCACCTAAAAATGCTCGAGCGATGCCAACTACCCCCTCAGCCTTTATTTCTCCACGAGCGCTATGACAACAACTCAACACAACCAATCTTGCCCGCAGCTGAGCCTGTAAAACATCCGCCATTGTCAGTAGAAAGTCTTTCTCTCTGGGACGATGGGATTCTCGAATAGGGTTTGGTGCCAAGGCAATTTCTCCCGTTTCCATGCTTCCATGTGCTGCGATATGTATCAAGGCAACCGTCGAGAGTCCTTTCAAAACTTCACCTTTAGTAGCCTTTTTTCCGATGAGGGGGGCCGTGCAGAGAATTCTTCCAATCATCTCTACTTCTTTCTTCGCAAATGGGAGCTCACACAATCTTTTTCCATCATAAAGAACTTCCTCTAAGCACGGATCTCCAACAAGTAGTGCGCCGGTTTTATTGTGGGACTCTGTTGGACAATTAGTGACCAATTTCAAAGTGCTCAGAGATGGCATCATACGGATCTTATAAAGCTCAGACAGATATTTCAGGGTTGGGTTCACCAATGCTACATAGGGTACCAAACAAAATGGACCTTCAGGAACGAGTATGAGGTCATCTCCATGAAACAGATCAGCTATAGGAGCAATGATAATGTCACTCATCTTCTTTAAGCTTTCTCCGGGTGGAGTAGAGTGAGAAACACTGACAGGGGCTCTCTCAGTCGTCAATGTCACATCATAAGGCTCGTCAAGCGAGCGATTTTCGCATTTAATGCCATCTCGTACAGTTATCTCCTTAAGAAGATTGTGGTTTAAAGAGGTGATAAATGTTCGCACATTCTGTTCTAATGAATGGTCTTCTATTCCTTTTTTTCTCAATTCGACCTCGTAATCGCTGTTTATAACCCAGAAGAAGATTTCCTTCTCACTAAACGCTACAAAAACTGTTGTCGATGGAATAGATGTAAGGGAGAAGTTAGCTGACCTTTCGAAAGAATGAGACTGAGAGTTTGCTTCCTTAAGCCCGTACTTATCCTCCATGAGATCCTTTAAAGCTTGGGCCCGTCCTTCCTCGGCATAAAACAAAGCATCAATTACTTCACCACGGTTTAAATGCAGACGCCACAAATTATTGTACGCATGACTATATGTATCGCGATAGTTAATCTTCCACTCGTCTTTAAACTCGAGAGCAGCTCTGATTTCATTAAACATCATCACACTGGAACGATAGCATTCAAGAGCATTCGTTGACGATCCCTGACCTTCAAAGCTCTGACCGAGTTGATAAAATGAAACGGAAACTACAGCTTTGTCTCCTACTTCTTTAGCAACTTTTTGACGAAGTTCATAATATTCAATGGCTTCCTTAAAGTCTCCTGATTTATAGTAGGTGTTTCCGAGATTTCCATAAGCCCCTCCCTCTAAATTTCTGTCTCCTATTTCTTTGGCAATTTGTAAAAGACACTTTTGGCACTCGATGGACTTACTAATATCTCCTAATTTGTCATAGGTCGAGCCTAGATTTCCATAAGCTGCCGCTTGAACAGATTTTTGTCCCAGCTCTTCGGCAAAGTTTAGGAGACGTTTCCCGTACTCGATAGACGTTTTGAAATCTCCTAATTGATCATATGCATTTCCAAGGTTTCCACAAGCCGCTTCCTCTCCAGCTTTGTCTCCTACTTCTTTAGCAATTTCCAAATCCCACTTATAGCACTCGATGGCCTTCTTGAGATCTCCCAAACTATGAAAAGCGATGCCAAGATTTCCAAAAGCCCTTCCCTCTCCAGCTTTGTCTCCCACTTCTCTGGCAATTCTTAAATCGTGCTCGTGGTATTCAATAGCCCTTTTGAAGTCTCCTAAGCTGTGATAGGTATTGCCAAGATTTCCATAAGCCCTTCCCTCTCCAGCTTTGTCCCTCAGTTCTTTGGAAAGTCGTAGATGGCATTCATGATATTCGATGGCCCTCTTAAAATCTGCCAATGCACGAAAATCTGAGCCGAGATTTCCATAGGCTATTCCCTCTCCAGCTTTGTCTCCTACTTCTTTAGCAATTTTTAGATGACATTCATGGTAAGCGATGGCCTTCGTAAGATATCCTAATCCACGAAAGACGTTTCCCAGATTACTATACACTCCTCCCTCTCCAACTTTGTCTCCCACTTCTTTGGCAATTCTTAGATGGCATTCATGGTAATAGATGGCCTTCTTGAAATCTCCCAACGCACGATACGCCAAGCCGAGATTTCCACAAGCTGCTCCCTCTCCAACTTTGTTTCCCACTTCCTTAGCAATCTTAAGACTACACTCATAGCACTCGATGGCCTTCTTGAAATCGCCAAACGCACGGTAGGAAATTCCAAGATTTCCATAAACCCTTCCCTCAACTGATTTCTCTCCTATTTCTTTGGAAATTTTTAAATGAAGCTTATGGTACTCGACGGCCCGCCTAAAATCTCCTGAACAATGGAAGAGATTGGCCAGACTTTCATAAGCCATTCCTTCCCCAATTTTGTCTTGCATTTTCTTAGCAGTCTTCAGACGACGTTCATTATACTCGATAGCCTTCTTCAAATTTCCTGATTGGTTAGGATTATTCCAAAGACTTTCATTTGCATTCCCCACATCACCTTCTTTTTCTTCTTCGTTAGCAACTTTTAATTCTTGGAGTGCTTTTGCAATTGGTTCAGCTCGGTATGATTCTTTTTGTAGGCCCTAAGTAAAACAAATTGCGCCTTTTAAGTTCAGGTAACATATCAATAAGAGGAAGATTGAATAGACGGTCCCTTAATTTCATCTTTTCACCTATACTACGCAATTAGAGTTCCATCATAAAGTATCTATGTTTACAGTATATTTCCCCAGTTGGCCATTCCAAACTCTTAATAAACCAGTTATTCTACCAAGGCCATTGTTTTATCAAGAGAAGAACAATTTTCCCATCAAATATTGTTTTGAAGTCTCACTTTCTTTTCAAATTTCGTTGTAAGAATGTGAGAAGTTAAATATTTAAAAGGGCATCCCACATGATCCAGCCTTTGTTTTTGCTTGTTTCGCGTGCGTTGGTGTGAATGAACTGATTTTCCAATTTCTTTCCTGGGATTTCTCGGGATTTATTGTCAGTTCGTCCTCTTTCTTCCATGTCTCCAATGTCTCTTGAACTGCGTGTGCCTCTCCAGTACATAGTCTCCATAAGTTTTCCAAGACGTCATTGCACTTTACAATCTTCGTAGAGTAAAGACTGATTCATTTAACTTACAGCTCTTTGTTATCACTTGATACTTACACATTTGTCTTACTCGTATAGCCATAAGAATTTACACTTTTTTTTCTCTCCCATACACATACATGGCAATTTTATTTCTCCCAGCCATTTTCTGAGTGCTCATAACCGTTGCTGCAAGATCGGGTCAATAAAAGACAAATATGAACCATAAATGCAAAGCAAATTAGCCGATAGAGTGAGTGGTTATTAAGGGAGAAGTGTATATGCTCCCAGCAGTCAGTAAGATAATCTTGTTTCCTTTTTTAAAGGAGAACGAGTGCACAAACGAGTGCAAACTTACTCTTATCCGTATCTTAAGATCAAATCCGTTTAAATATGATGTAGACTCTGTCTGGTCTGCGTTAATTATAATGTCGATTGAAAGACTCATGCAGTGGAAGTGTACCTCAAATACCAATCAGCAATTCATTTCTGATAATTGAACTTACCCAAACTGCTGAGACCATTTAAACTCCATATCTTTGGATGCCTTCTTGGCACTGACTGACTTGTGAATAAAACATACGCCTTTTTTGATCGGAATGGAGCAAGCAATAAAAACAAATCGCCTAAATTAATTGAGATTCTGAAACAGTCAAGATGTGGGGATATATTCCTAAAACCTAAACAAAGGATACTGACAGTCCTTTCTGACACCACTGAATGGCCTCTGCTTGTAATTGAAGCTGCACATAAGCACTGGCTCCTAAAGACGAATGGCAATTGGTTGAATGCAGTTCGCTAACTTTTGTTACGAAGTGAAAAAATTCTTCTTTCTTTCATGAAATCGAACCAAATTCTGTTCACAAGTTATCAATCAGTGCATAGCTGCTGATGCCCTTTTGCATCGGTCACATGACAAAAACACCTACTTCGATTTTAAGGAGAGGCGTGGTTTGATTGATTTGAACTTACGTACTGATACATGCATGAAAGTGAATGTGTCCTTGCGTGAAATAATGCGGAGGAAAAGCTCTCTCGAACATAAATGAGGGGGAGATCAAATTTAGCATAATTTCAAATCATCAGCATTAGATGATTGTGTGACAGCATGAAGATAAATAATATTTCCCTTAGCAAAAGTTTCCAGTTCAGACAGTTATCCTATCGTTGATCGGATTTTTGAAAATAGCTGGCTCCGGTTTTACACAACTGAGGCAGATAGATTACCAAGGGAGTGATTAAACCAGTTTTGATCTTATCACGTTAAGACATGAATTCCACTTATTATATAAAATCTGGTTATTTCAAGGATTTCCATCCCTTGGAAAAACCGTAACAGCACACGTATAATATTACGATAATAATTTACGTGTGATTGATATAGCCAATCAGCTACTGACACGTCACTCGCCTTTCGTGCCATTCTGTCAGGCCGATGAATGACTGGCACAGCTTTCATCATTACTTAAGTCGACTTTTCTCATAAGCAAAGGCTTATGGTGTTGATAAAATAAACAAATTAATACATAGTTGTTTGTGGATATTGAATTTGTCTTCTTGCGTTCAACTCGAAACATCACTCGTTCGCTGCACTCATTTTTGAGCTACCGAGTTACACATTCAAAGAGAAATTGCATATCTACGTGCGCCATGTATTATTCACCATTTATTAGTCTTATTTATGGCACCTCGTTAGTTACCTTGACTCAATTTATCGATTAACTTACCTAATTCTATGGCTTTAATCAAAGTTGGATCCAACGCAACAGCAACTGATGCATCATCCAGGGTTTCTTGGTAATAACCTGGAAAAGAAGGAATAAAACAATGAAGCAAAAGGAGGAAAAGTCAACATGTGAACATTATGAGCAAGAAAAAAGCAGCAGACATCAAGAAGTGCAAGATTACCGACAGAAAAACGATATTTTTACTTTTAATAGCCTCCCCTTAATGGCCACAAACTGTATGTTATGGGTTACAGGTCAACCTTTAACATTTTTTTATTTCTTATTGTAAAATATTTGTCTAAGACTAACAAGAGAGTGCTGATAAGGCAAAAGTCAGAAACGAGCTTCACCTTTCGATATGCTTAAATCATGCTTAAAAGGAAGGCTAAGGTACACAGAATGTTCATTAACTTCTATTGTGTACGTCTACAAGGCCTTGCTTCTACAAGGAACGAATAGTGTAACAATGAAACCTTTTCGAGTTGAGCTTATGGCTTTACGAACTTCAGGAAATTATTTTAAAATAATTCATCTTTACCATCAAATTTTACTTTCCATATTCGAGCAAGAACTTAAGTCAAGCCGGGGATGCATTCGGAGGTTAAACCAGTACGAAAAAACATTAAAACATTCTTACCTAAGTAGAAACTTGCTGCTGCCCTTTTGCTGTAAAGTTCGGCATTCAGTTGATCATCCCTACAGTTTACTTGGAGGCCCTCAGAGTAAAAGTGTATCGCGTTATGAGGCTGTTTATTTCTGTACTCGTCGTCACCCTCCATCAGATACACTTTTGCTATAGCTAACAAAATCACAAGACGATCATTTGCGCTAGCAGTGTATCATAGTTACTGTGCTTTGCCTATTTATTACTCCTCCACCCCTCATCGCTCCCCCTAGTAACAGAGGCAGGAAGAGTTTGTAAAGTAAAATCATTAGTTCTCAATATTATTCAATTTAACAATTTTTTCTTCATTAGCTGGCCTAATATTCTTAGTTCACTTACGAATCAGGTTATTTTTCTAAGTTTTTGACAACTTATCTTTTTTTTTTTGTTTTAATTTTTTTTCCATCTATGTTCTCTTCCATACCTGTCGAGGTTTCATCGTCAAAATTTAAGCTTTCAGCTTCCGCCATATCTGAAATTTTTGAGAAAAAAGAGGTGTCAGCTGGACTTTTAAATCCGAGCGGACAAAAAGTAGATATGTAATTTACAATACGGAAGGAACTCTGTCAGAAAGAGATATTTATTCTTTACGCTTCAATCCGTGAGCAGTGCTTTACGATACAGCGACAGTACACTGTTTAAAACGTAAGTCTTTAACAAATTTTATTGAAATTGTTTTGCGATATCATAAACAGACGAGGAATAGATTCCATGTTTTGACTCTGAGTGAGAGAAAATCGTGACTTTCGATGCTGCCGAGGATTACTAAACGAATGAGCAACGACCTGTGTAAGATATACCAAAGTGAGCAAACGCACTAAAAAGCTATAGGGTAAAGCCTGTACTCGAGCCAAGTGAACCATCCAGCCAAAGCCTATCCCAGTTTCCATAGGATGAAGCGCCTAAGAGTATTACTGCTCCCCCTGGATGGGATGCCAGTCCATTGCAAGGTTACCCCTATCATCTCATCAGGCTTCCATAATAATTCGCTCTGAGCGGAGAGAGTAACTGTTAAAGTGTAGTGTTTTGCTTAAGAACAAACACACTCACCCGGCCTGGTCTCGAACTTGGACCTCTCAACTCGGAATCTAGCGCATCGTAAAGCAATTGCGTGTCTTCTTTCAAAAGTTATAAGCAATGACTACTTTCGCAGACAGCAGGACATATGCAGCCTTATCCACACTATAAAAAAATGGCGTTTTCTTGAGGATGGTTATATCCACAAGAAACTGAGACAACTAATTCTTATCTTTATTTCCACACCTGTGCTCTGTTTACCTACCTGATTGCCTTTGCGTTTTGATGGCTCCGTTGCTAAAAAGAAGGAAAAAAGCAGGAAGCCCTTAATTTTCTTACCTTTCATTATTTTACAGGATTTCTTACAAATTTATGTAAAGTATGGTCCCCGATCAAATGGCCTTACAATTTTAACTCATCTGCCACATTGCAAGAATTTTATCGCAGTTAATTCAGCGTGTTTCGTTCTATTTCACTTTACCTTTAAGTTTTTGAAAATTGAACTGGAAAATCAGGACAGCGATTCCATTCGAAAAACACTGAACAACCCTTGTGAAGCGAAGAAAAGGACGTAATACTGGTTTCTTGCAGAAATAGGCTTCGCATTCTAATAATATTTCACGTTACGTTTCGTTTCTTGACTGACAACAGTTACACCTAGTCAGCTGATTGATGTTAAATAAATCGCGAAGATGTGAAACCTTTGAAGAGGCAATGGCCCGCCTTTTGAAATTATACATGTTTACTCAACATTCGATATACTAACTCTTTTCAAATATACATATAAAGAAGTAAATTCCTAAGAAACAGAATAGGGACCTCTACAAAAATATACTAACAAATAACAGGAGAAAAAATGAATACAAAGATATAACAAGACAGAACTTCCCAAATGCCGAGGGAATAAAATGAAGCAGTCGTGGGGAAAAAGTTTACATAGAAGCAAAAATAACAAGAAGGAATGTGAATTTGGGGCGGTGTAATTTTCATAAGGCGCGAAAATAATAGTGCATAACTCATAAGTGAAAAACCGAAATGAATAAGCATAAATCAATGGTGCGAAAAGTATTTAAAAGATTTGTAGCTAAGGGATTTAGAAAATTAAAAAAACTCGCCACAACAACCAATAAGAAAAGAAAAGCCAAGTAACGATGTCATCTTAAGGGGAAACTATCATTAAATTTTATAGTATCAAAGTCTAAGCCACGTCGCACAGCAGTTCACCTCAGTACTTCATTGTCAATAATCGCAGCGATAACGAGTAACACTAGCAGATTTCAGTCACTGACACACGATCTGCAGATAACTTAAGACTAAACAATTTTGAATTCCCCCCGCCAACAACACAACAGCAACACAATCTGTTTTTGGCCAAGAGAGAAGTTTATTCAGCTAGATCCTAGAATAATGAAATAGGACCGAACAGTAACAAACAAGGAAGCGAAATAAACCTCTCTGCCACCTTACCTAAACACACTAACAAGAAATGGGTGGGTGGGCGGGAAAAACAACGCCACTTGACAAAACACTGTTCACGCTACGAGAGCTGTAACAAAACTGAAACCTATTACTGTAAACAATAAAGGATAGACAAAGGTGTGTCGCGTGGCGTGAGGCAATTAATCCCTTTGCGCAATAGTGCCCAAAGAGGGAAAATGACACTCTACGTGTCACTTAAAAAGCAGAGCTGCATGCACGACTGAGTCAGGATATTATTCAACCAACAGTGATATGCGGGTGTAAGTCCAAGAATAGGTACAGCACAAGGTTCTTTGTTGTAATTAAAGGTTTTAAGTTATTAATTATTCTTGAAATTTCTATGATAAGAGCGAGGCCGTAAGGAAGAAAAAAAATCATAAAACAATACAAAGCAAAAACAAAGGCTGGAGGGTGCTCGCTGGCAGTCGTCAGATTTATCAACTGATCTCAAAAGCTGGTGACTTTAAATATTTAAGAAAATGTAAATTTTATGGAAATGAAGAGCCTCTAACACGGTGATTTCGGATAGCGGAGAAACTTATCAATAGTTTAATAATATTCGTCAATCCTGCCCAGCCATCAAGCGGCCTAAAACAATACAAATGATGTGTAGCATAACAATACCCTATTGAAACCTTTCAACCACATCCGCACTGAATCACGCCTCACTTCAGATGTCCACCACTTAAACTGAATATTTTCTGTCGAATCGGTTTTAATTAGGCTGTATTTTGCCTCACTGAAGTGAATCAAATGATTAACTCACAATCTTCAAGCTTCGATCGACGTCTTCACACTATTCCGAATTTAACTACAATGTTTAATTATGTGAAAAAAAATATTGACAGGACTGCAATTAATATATGCACAGTTTACATGATAATATACCATAAACAATTCGTTGGGCTCAGTTATATTCAAATTTGCGGAATTCGTCTAAAATTAAAAGAGGAATAAACCTTAAGTTTCAAAATTCTCTTCACCGTAGCAACTTGATTTCATGATAATTATATGACATACATCTTTATCCACAATGCCATTTTAACTGAATAAACTTCGACCTAAGGTCGCATTTATAATATTTTTTCGTTGTTTTCCTTTGTCACTACACAGTTTGCAAAGTGGAAAATTCTCAAAACTTCGGACCTGTATTCTAACGGTTAACTTTGTATCCGATATTTCTGAACGAAATGAAATGAAATCTGGGATCAGTATTTGTTCTTGGGAAACTGAGCTCCGCTTTCTTGGCTTTCAGTTTAGATAAGCACTTAAAAAAAAATTTTACCGAACTCTTCACGCGAATTATGCGCGGGCACAATTCGTTTCATTCGGCCTTGATTCAAAGGTAAGCGCACAAAACTTCATAGAATTTCGGTATACAAATAATTTATCGAAGAAACTTCGCGACTAAATCATTCGAATATTCTCAAAACTTTGTTATTTGAATTGTTCGGTGGTCATGCATCGACCACATTTCACATTTCCGCTCTCAGGCAAAAAGCTCAAAAAAGTACGTAGTCTGAATATCGGCTTATATAAAAAAACGGCCATCTGTATTACGTGACTTTTCAGCAGAGTTTACTATGAGCAAGAACATTTCCAAATGCTTTCAAGTCTAGCCATACCTTAAACAACAACTGCGTTTCCAAATGATCTGCTTCAAAAGGCAAAAATTTTTAAGTAAACGGCCTGCATAAAGTGACGGTTCATCGAGGACTGCTACGAGAGAAAAATTCCAAAAAAAATTCCAAACGTTTTTAAGTTTAGTCCTACCTTAAATCACGGCGTGGATTTGATTTATCGATTCAATATTTGAATCGCCAGGTCGTATTTCTTTTCCTTGCCGAAGAGCATTGCTAACCGAACCGGAGAGAGGTAAACAACTTTTCGATCGGTCGTGTACATAAGAGGTTACGTTAAGCATGCGCGAACAGCTATATTGCAGGCACGTCCACACCCTTGTTCAGCTGTTTAGCGGACGACTCAGCACAACGAGTGCACAGAGGTTACGCAGAACCTTGCATATGTACGTATTGTAGTTTCAAACTTGCAATTTGTTATTTTAACTGTCGACATCAAAATTGTGTCTGATTCTGGACTACGAAAGCGAATCAGCGAAAGACTTTCCAGATAATACCTAACTACAGTCAACCATAGTCGAAAGTGAGCAAAAAAAATGTCCAAGAATTTTCTGCGGATCTCATTGTTATGTAACTTCTTCAAATGTTATTTTCTCTGTTAATCTCCTATCAGGTCGAATTCTTGCGATCATTTCATCTTGCAGTTTAATACTTGTAATATTTTAAATATTTTCAAAGGAAAAAAGACCGTCTGTATGGCTTGGGATTAATCTCTTATCGTGGATTCGGCGTGAAAATGCTCCAGTTATGCCTACTGAAGCAATTTTAATCCATTGAAAACTCCAAAAAGTAAATGCTATGGTTAAAGCTAATTTGTTTACGTATCACACATCCATGAAGAATGCCAAATGTTGCAGTTAAGATGCGGTAGAACAAAAACAAGACTGTTACCTAACAATATGATAGACCGAAAAGTTGTAGGAAGAATGACGTACCTAAGAAACCACCCTTTTCTTTTGAATTAACGAGCTACGTAGTCTATGAACAAATTTTTTAATAGGAAAGTAAGTAAAGAGGTTAAAAAGAAGAAATTGTTTACAGTTACAGTTACCTTTTGACAAAAGATGTTAACTTTAATAGAATTAAAAATAAAGGAGTTCTTTGTTGACCATAACGGTTAACAATTTTCTTCACTAGCAGACGGGTTAATATTGCCTCCACAAGCAAAATTTGAGCCAAGCCTACCTGAAGAGCCAATTGCGACAGAAACCGAACACCTGTTTTCACACTGTGTTTCTTATTTAAAATCGGAAGCACTATAAATAGAGTATTTTAAAATGCTAAATAGACTACTTTTTCATAAATATAGAAGATATCAATTGATCTAAATTGTAAAATATGAGCGTTATGGGAATATGAAAAGATCAACTTCCTTTTTACGTTTTTCTGAATAGCTTGCGATACATATTTTTTCTTTTGTATTCCCAACACTAAGATAACAATGCTTTTACTCTTATCAATTTCATCCCTATTTAATCGCCGAAATCAAACTAAGAAGCTTTGTCTTTCTACCGGACAAAGATGTGTAAAATAACCTTTTTTCAGTTATATATCAACAAAGTTGGAAAGACACAAAGCTATTTCTTCCTTCAATTCTTCAAGTGCGCATTTATTGATAACGTCTCAGAAAGGTGAGTTTAAACTTACTTTACTTACGCCCTCTTTGGTTAGTCCTCAGGATATCGAAACGGAAGTCGTGGTGCAACTTTTTAAAACAAAACTAGTGAGCAGCACTCTGAGAACAGTAGTTGTAGAACTTCTTTATTCACACGGTTTTTAGCTAACTGAAACCGTGGCCCCAAATATTATTCTCACCCTGCCCAAAAAAAATTTTCAAATTTTTCACAGCTTCACCTTTTCCTTTTCGTATGTCCGCCAAGCGTTTATGGTCATTGGCTCCCGAAAAGCTGCTAACTATGGCTTATAAATACAGGCGTTTAGTGTTAACTTCTAAAACTCCCTGAAGAAGTCTAGTTTAGTGTTAAAATTTTCTTTAAAAAATTTGGTTTGTCTTCAGGATATCGAAATGGAAGTCGCGGTGCAACTTTTCAACTCTTTAGAGCTCGCTTTCCCTTTTTTTTAATAACACTGGGTCTCATCTTTTGATTCTTTCCGCTTGTAATAGGCTTTCTCTCATTTGCTACCCACGCGTACTTCTAGGAAACGCTTCTTGGTTTCACTTCTTCTTGAGTCTCTATAAAGAGGCTGGATACTGTCTCTTACTCATTTTAACTTCAACAAGGAATTCGTGGCTTCCTACCTTAAGCTCCCCAGTAACCGAAAATAAGATCAGAATGTAGCAGAATGAACGCGCATGTTCTGTTAAACTTTAAGTTAAAGACTGTGACATTTATTTTGTATCAATCGCAATCTTTACGAAAGACATTCCTTGTCCTATATTTTTTTACGAATATAGTAACGAAACTATCAGACAGAGTGATTGCAAGGAAACAACGAAAAACATGCAGAACATGCTATTTGGAAATTAAATGTTTCGTTTTACACCTCTCTTGTAATTAAACTCTGTAACCAGCGTGTATTTCAGTTTTGTGTAAATAGAAAAGTTTACGCAAGAAGGTACGCTGATATTAAAAAAAATTGGTTTTAACAAGGCAAATGCCAGTTTTTCCAGTTCATATAATCCCAGATACCCTTTTAGATGAGAAAACTTTGCAGTAAGCGAGCTGAGTTAGACATGATTAATATACAGAAATTGTAACATCCTTTACTGAACAGTCTATTTTTTCACCAATCTGCTCTTTTCGGTCTCTCGCTGACGCAGTATAACCAAACCATTCCAGTGGCTGACGTTATGGATTACTATTGCACATTTTTTCAGGCATTATTGCGATTATGTGGAAAATTGGTGTCATAGTTAAGCATAATTTAGCAAGGAATTGTCGGGTCTATGTGGTTTGTATACAGAGGGAAAGAGCTCTGCTATACATGGAAACATGGTAACCGGTTAAAAAAACAAGGAGGAATTGTTTTTCCTCCGGGGAAAACTCTAATTAAGAAATAATGGTGTAGCCAAGATGTAACCCAGTTGCAAATAACAGTTTTCCAAATAATACAATGGCCTAAAACCTGAGATCTACGGTCCCTATATTAACGACTGTATAAGCCACACTTCCTCTAACCATAACCGGTGTCAATTCGTTTCACAAGGCCCTGAACTATACCTGGGAAATTTCCGACCGATGTATTCATCTTCGCACTCATCACATGTCAAGAAAGTCATTCCTTACTCTCAGTTTCCTATACTTCGATTTTTATCTAAGGATGACTCTGGTTTCGCCAACTTCGCGCCACGAAGTGCACTCCAAACAAATGTTCAACCATGAGCTTTTAAATACTCGCGCGCGCGACGCAAAACTATTTCTTTAATTCATAACGTTGAGGAATATCAAGTACCAAGTCGTTCATTCTGATCACTAATCCTTTCATCTTTACCTCTGCCTATGTCATCTATGGCATAACTTACACTTATTGAAAATCTTTTTACATCGCCGAAACGGGAAGACGACAAGGCAACCGATTCCGCGAACACCTTCGTGACATAGAAAGGAATGACAAAGCAGTAACACCCCAATCGTTCCACTTCTCTCTCCACCATTCTCCTACAGTTTGAAGAGCCGCAAAAATCTAGAACAAACAATTATGTCTCAAATCGGCTCTCTTAAACCCAATCAACGAATCAAAGAACGCTTCTCATTTTACCGATTTATTCTTGTGTTTTCATTCCAGCCCCTGTTTTCCTTCTATCAAGAGAATCACTAATGCCTTTACCATAACCTTCATGTTCTGCGTCTTCGCCTTTTCAATTGGTTTTTAATCCCAAACGTTTTTGCGAGGTAAGCGTAAGGTCTATGTTGCTCAATATCAGTGAAACATGAAGATATCACATCTTGCCCTTCTCTTCTTCAACCTCTTAAAAAATTTTCAGAGACTCTCTCGTGGACTAACCCACGAGAATTTTTTTTGCAGAACTCTTGTACAAAAATTCAGCCTATTGCTGTAATGCCCTCCAATAAGCGGAGTATACTCTGAAGCTTGTTTCCCGGCGTCGCAACGCTAGTTTTCAAATCAAATCAAAGAACAACAAAAGTTATAGTTATCAAAGATCGATACTTTATGCAATGTGCTGGTGTTTGTTTTCTTTTTTAATCCCCCCCCCTTCAATCCTTGTTCACACTCCCTTTCACCCCTAACTTTGGTTAATAAAAGTTAGGAAAATCTGTGCCACATTAAGTTAGGATTGAAACCCTAGAGTTGATTCCCTCACCAGAATGAGTTTCGTCTACTCTGACATACACATATGCCTTGATAACACTGCAACATAACGGCTCTACTGCCTCATTGGTGCAAAGGGTAATAATTGAATATTTTTTCCCATTGACCAAGCAGTTATCAATGGATCGTGTAATTTACATTCTCATATCAAAACTGAAAAATCTTGCTCAATCCATAATTTTCATACCTTTGATCTCCATACTAATTAAACTTCATCCTGTATTAGTATAGGAGTTAATTATTGCCCTTTTTTGGTGTGCATGTCGTAAGGGTCACCCTGATGACGAATGCTGCTGACTGAGAAGTTAGGACATCCCTGATTTTATCACCATAGTTACTATGAAGAAAATATAAAACTTAAACGCGATTACCTATAAAGAAAACTCAAGTTTGATGTGTGTGAGTTGTTTTGATCAAGTAACTTCAATGAATCCAAGCAATCATTTCAGTGAATCTGTAATTAATGTTTGCAACTGATGTAGTCGTTGAAATTTGCGCCTTGTGTTCATATTGTTGGGACCGCCCCCCGAAAAATGACTCTTTGGCTGAGAGTAAAAGAATGACCCTGTATTGACTATCATCGATTAAATAATAATAATGATAAAAATAATAATGATAGTCATTTCCGCGGCATTTCTTTAGGATGGCAATTTGTTCGTGAAGATTGATCCAAGTATGTCCAAAACTACGGATCGATACAAGTAGTTTAATATATTCACGAGTCATACGACTCGTAGGAGTCGTCTAATGTATTCATGAGTCGTACGACCCGTGCCTCTCACTAGGGAGACTGACAGTTTTTCACCTCACACCATCGAGCCCTGATGGTGGTGCATCGATTCGTACGAGTGGTACGATTCGTCGACCATGAATATTCATTACGGAAACCATGGAAACGAAACGAGTCGTAAGGCTGTGCTGTCTATCCATGAATGTCCTTAGGGAGACTTTTTCACCAAAAAACCTCCGCGCGAAGTGCACAAACAAGAAAATCCTCGCATTACTAAAAGTGCCGCGCAAAATGCACAAATAACGAGAGTATTCTTCGTTCTAAAAGCACCGCGTGAAGTACACAAACAACAACAGTCCATATTTAACAGGAGTCCGTATTTAAAACACAGTCAACGAGACATATACTACTCTATGATCATTAAACCTATAATGCTTTACGGCAATATGATTTGCACTTCTTCCAATAAAGGAAATGTTTGAAAGTCCGACGTCTTCATAAACGTGCGGCTAGAATAATTCTTGGTGCCAAATAAACAACGCCTTCTGTCGCCTTATTTAACTCCCTAAAGTGGATTCCCTTTTATGCTGAGTCATACGTAATCGATGCACTTTAACCTATAAAAGGCTGAATGGGAATACTCCTGAATATATAAATTATTTACTTATCAGAAACTCTGACACACATAATAGATCAACCCGTTTCTGTAATCTTAACTTAAGTTGCCCTCGATATAACAGAAGTAAGGAAAATGGTCGAACGTTTGCTGTGAGAGCAACAAAGGAATGGAAAAAACTAGGTACCGATGTCAAAAACTTTAAGCGTTCTCTTTTTAAAATAGTTTCAAATAATCAAATTCTTACGCGGTTATTCATGTAAATTTTAAAATCTGTATATAACCACATTTTATAATCTTATTTTGCAATGTACAAAGGCTTGTATACTATTTTAATTACCATTAATATTGTTGCAACTATTGCTATTAGTTTGTTTTGTTTTGTTTTTTTTTGAGGGCCATTAGGTTGTCAGTTTTATTACTGTCAAATGTTATCCTCATTAAATAAAGTCTTACCTACCTAGCCACCAACAGTAATCTTTGTTGTACTGAAAAGCAACGCGCGAAGTGCACGAAAAACATTAGTATCCCTCCTTCTAAAAGTACCGCGTAAAGTGCACAAAAAACAAAGTATTCCTCGTTCTAAAAGCACCGTGCGAAATGCATAAAAAACGAAGTATCCCTTGTTCTTAAAGCACCGCGCGAAGTGAACAAAAAACAAAGTATTCCTCGTTCTAAAAGCACCGCGTAAAGTGCACAAAAAACAAAGTATTCCTCGTTCTAAAAGCACCGCGCGAAGTGCACAAAAAACAAAGTATTCCTCGTTCTAAAAGCACCGTGCGAAATGCACAAAAAACAAAGTATTCCTCCTTCTAAAAGCACCGTGCGAAGTGTGCAATAAAACAAAGTATTCCTCGTTCTAAAAGCACCGTGTGAAGTGTGCAAAAAATAAAGTATTCCTCGTTCTAAAAGAACCGTGCGAAGTGCACAAAAAACCAAAGTATTCCTCGTTGTAAAAGCACTGTGCGAAGTGCACAAAAAACATAGAAGTCCTCGTTGTAAAAGCACCGTGCGAAGAGCACAAAAAACAAAGTATTCCTCGTTCTAAAAGCACCGTGCGAAGTGAACAAAAAAACAAAGTATTCCACGTTCTCAAAGCACCGCGTGAAGTGCAAATATCACAAGAGAAATCTTTGCGAAGCGCACAACATGTAAAGAATTTTTGTTCTAAAAGCACCGTGCGAAGTGCATAAAAAACAAAGTATTCCTCGTTCTAAAAGCACCGCGTAAAGTGCACAAAAAGCAAAGTATTCCTCGTTTTTAGAGCACTGCGTGAGGTGCACAGATAACAAGAGAAATCTTTGCTCTAATAAAAAGCAACGCGCGAAGTGCACAAACAACAAAAGTATTCCTCGTTCTAATAGCAACGCGTGAGGTGCACAAACACCAAACTATTCCTCTTTGTTCCAAAAAAAGGCCCTGCTCGCAGCACACAAACAACCACTGCATTTTTCGTCTTAGCAAAAAGCATTTCACAAAATGAATTAGATAATTTCTATTGGGAATGGTGTTTTCGAAGCTCTTTGGGCTAGAGGGTCGGCGGGGGATGAGATTTTTTTCTTTCTGACTGTCATTAGCGGTATTCATATATAATTTTATTGTAAAAGAAAATTTGTCACCCATAATTTGCTATCAATTGCAACTTCTACGGAACTTTGTGCAAGGAAAATTGGATAGACAGTCCTATTATTATCAAATAACAACCGAAAGTAAAGTGAATACAATGCAATATTAATGAGCGGACAAATTCGACGCCAGTGTCGGAACACGGAAGACATGTAACGTGACCGTGTTAACGATGATTAGGGAAGAAAATAAGGTGCTTATAATTTTTTTCCCAAGAATGCCCTTAATGAGATCCAGCCAATTTTCGAAGGCATGCCGTAACATTTCGCGTAAGCGCCTGACTACGGCTTTTTGACACCAGTTATTTTGTGTTGGTGTGAAAGATTAAAATATGATTAAATTAGAACACTGCTTAGGCAACGACATATGAATCGCGTTTTCCTTAGTGCTGAGCAAATACTCTTTCTTTAAAATGTTGTCGTCCACGTGTCGCATTCCTTCGAACGGATAATATCCGTAATGTTCGAATACCTTACAACTTTTACATCGCTTTGACATTCGACCGCCAAGGTAGGTTCCAAATTCGCAGTCATAAACCACAACAACGTTTGACTTTCCGTCCAAAATCAAAGACTTTTGGCAAAACCTACATTTCTCCCGTACAGTTATAAAGATCGCACCCATAGGTACTCCGGACATCAAAGACGATTGAAGAAGCTCCTTAAAGCATAGCTTATAATGAGTACATAAAACCTGGCTGTTAAGGAACAGTAAGCTTTCTGCCTCCCTTCTTTGTTTCCTTGACGACTAGTACGACTCGTACGAATCGACACACCACAATTTGGGGTCAGTTCTCTCAAAGTGGTGAAAAAATATCTAAGTTTCCCTAATTACATTCAAGGACAGACAGCACAGCCTTACGACTCGTTTCGTTTCCATGGTTTCCGGATCGTACGACTCGTGAATACTTAAGACGACTTGTATCAAGCCGTGGTATCGGACAACCTTCGGTAGAAGCAATGGTTCGTGTTGCCTAGATAATTCGCATCGCAGGAATTACATTTAAATTCATAGAATTTTCGACGACGACGTGTCAACATTATCAAATGCAAAATTATTATACGTTCAGTGATGTTATATAAAGAAAGGAAAGTGTGAAACTAAATTTGAATACAAATGAGATGGAGTAAAACAAAAGACTGTACATATTTAATTCCTTTCTTTATATAACGTCACTCGACTTATAAAAAATTACGAGCAATTTGCCATCCTAAAGAAATGCCGCGGAAAGGTTGAGTGCCTTATTAACTAGAAAATTTACTGCCGGTTAAATTCGAATGAGAGAGGGGGGATTATAAGGATATTACAGCGCCTGATAAGGATCAGGTAAATTTTATCGTGACACACCCAAAACCCTCCAACCATCCCCCTTCCCACTGGTTCCCCCGAAATTGCGGTGCTTCATCTGTGAAGGAAAGAAAAAGTTTGATAGAGTGATATCATCACCCAAGACATCTTATCATGAAGCATTTCGATGAACAGAAAGGAAAAAAATCGGAAACATCATGAAATACATGTCATTATTTGTTGTGTTATGACACTTGAGAATCGTTTCCTGTTAGATGTTTAGGAGATTAATATAAACCAACACGAAAACAAATATAGTTGGCAAACATGTTTTTATTAAAACAGTCATCATCTCTGGTAAAAATGAGGGAACACCTTACTTTTTGTCTCCCCTATATTACAATTAACACTGCTGCTCATACTTTCAAATTGGTACAAAGTGGTTGCCATATAAACATTACTGCCCAACCTTGTGAGATTACTTGAAAATCGAGCTCATCGACCTTAAGTTGTTATTACAGGACTGCTGATCAAGATTTAACTTACTGCAAATGGAATTTCTAAAATTTGATGAACTTCATAACTAGCTTAAAATTTGTCATTATACAGTGGGATATATACCTTGCCATCGATACAACGAAAAATGGTGTCTCAAAATAACGAAAATAATGTTAATTAACTGTGTGAATGAAGTTTCTCGTGGATAAAGCTAACATTAAATAAATCGCAGCTAGATCATATACTGAATGAATGATTTTGAATTCAAATCGACACGCATCGCCAAGAAACACATCCGTGTAGAAAACCAACATGATGGTTTTCATAAGTTCAATATTTATGAAATATTTAAGATATTATGCGTGCTCTAATTGGTCGATTGGTGTGTTTAGATAGACATCTTTGCGAAGTTTCACAACACAATTTGAAAAACGTTTTCCAAAGCTTTCGCAAAACTCGCAGAAAAATGTTAAGTACAAATATAACAGCAATGGAGATAAACCTTCATTTTTTTTTCTGGGTTTGACTATCTTTCCCCTCCTAAGTCCAAAGTAAAATAAAGAAGACGGCTCGGAGATCCCTCGTCTATGGAGCTCGAGCAAAGACAACAAAATATGCAACACAATGCACGGTAAAAGTGTTTCAAGGTAATTTTCATATTCAGGTACAACAATAAAACCGTCTACGAGACATTCTATAAGAAAAAATGCTCACGAAAACGCACGGCAAAGTAAGTACTTTAGAGTACAGGCTTTGCATGGCCTATCAGTTACCATGATGTGACTTTCCAATTTTTTATAAAACGTCACTTTTTTTCTCAGACGTTCTCGGGTTGCCAAATTAGGCAAATTCACGTTACTTTCAAAAGCAGTCAATCCGAGCAAATTTCTTTTTCAGCTTAAAATAAAACTCGTTTTCTTGAAGTTCTTTCCTTGCGGAATCTTATAATTCAAACATTTCAGTATTTTTCTGTCAGATTCACGAGGGTTTCATCTCACCCGGTGCTGGCGGTTGTCCTAAATATTATCTTAGCCTGAATTTTATAACGCGAGCTTTGATTGCTTTATGTGTAGCCAAAATTTTTTAGCTCCCGGTAAAACATTCCCTTCAAAATGATGATTATGGAGATGTACCTAACCAGATACACTGTAAATGACATAAGTGACGTAATTTAAAAATTGTTCAGGTTGATCAAGTTTATGACAAAGTAACACAATTGGATCATGTCTATAGTTTGTTCAAAAATCCAACAAAAACGTTATAGTTACCTGACCATGCGTGGATATCTTGCAACAGCGTTCATTTATCTGATTTTTCCTAGCATTGAAAGATCTTCCCCCACCGCCACAGGAATTCATTGCATTGGCTCCACTTCTTCCACCAGAGTACCCACCTCCTCCTCCTCCTTGGCTATATTTATGTACTCCGCCACCACCACCACCAAACCCACCCACAACATCTTTAATCGTGGCTCCACCACCCAACGCTCCATCCAGATATCCCTTACCGCCCTCTCCACCTTTTCCCGTGGTTCCACCATAATTCCTTCCACTTTTTCCACTGTAATAAAATCCGCCTCCACCACCACCTTATGCAAGAGGGAACAATTAATTAGAAAAGGTAACTTCCCCTGCAACCCCTTTCTAGGTCCGCCTGTCATTCGTCTATTCAGTTTTCGTTTAAAATCAAAAATTGAAAATCGATGTCAATTTTTTATTTTTATTTTTTATCATAAATAATACGCGTGCCAAATCGAAAATTTTTTACTTTTTTTCCTTTTTATATTTTTACATTAATCCTGTCAACAATAAAGAAAAAAATGAAACTGAGCTGCAATTTTACTTTTCCAACAATGTTGCAGTCTATGGCATGGCTAAGTTTTTCTGTTTTCGGCGGAAGTCTAAAAATTGAAAATTAATTCCAATTTCAACTTTTGTTTTTCGGCCAAAACACAGAAAATTGTTGACAGAACTACCCAAGAGGGAGGGGGAGGGGTTCATTCCCACGGTAATTTTTGCCCCCAGCGCCGTTTTGGAGCGTCTTCCTCAGTTCAGCGAGCAGCCAGACTTTGGATGTTAGCTAAGAAGTTAAAAAGATCTTAGACTTCGTATTTGAGCATATTGGAGCGGGTGATGTAGCTCTATCGACTTTTAAGACACCATACTGTAAAACATGGATAGAATGAAGGTGAGGGAGAGGGAGAGGGAGGGGGTAAATTTCTGATACCACCCCCTCCCTAATGGCTCGCCTGTAGTCTGCGAAGGAAGTGAAAGTTTCGCGCTCTTTCGGACTGTCCGTTCGCCGACATCATGGCAAGCAATAAAACCTTTGATTTGACTAGGGACGGAAAAGTGTTTAAATTACGAATAGCAGCGGGGAATATGACAGTTTCGAGGCTTCTCGAGCTTTTCAGGCAATACACGTTGTATTTACATTTGGAGTCTTGCAAAATTGCCCGATAACATGACTGCAACAATGCAAGATTTGCAAGATTAAGTAATCTTAACCAAAATTTAGATCGTGTTTAACTGTGGTTATCCTGCGAGCAGTTGTGTTGGGAGTGAAATCTTCAACACTGAAAACAACAAACGAGGAAAATTGTATTTCTCAGGTGGAAACGAATTCGTTGTACTTAAGGGAGGAGTTTGGAGACATGACGTACTGGCCGACTGACTCAGAACGATTTGATGTCTTGCATTTAGACGATGGATCTTCTCTTCTTGTCATGGGGGAAGATTTCACGAATTCGCCATCAAACATCCGGCAGATAGCTGAACAACATAAAGGGCAATTAAGTCATTTGTTAACTTATGGTGGCTCTCTTACTGGCTCTCGAGCGAGTTCTTCAAGGCCACGGTAGGTTTCGGTAGCGCAAGACGAAAAGGAGGCGCTCTTGCGAAGATTATTCCTGCGGAAATAACACACAAGAATGTGAAGGGACCTCCTACGTTCCAAGAACTGGTGGCAAATATATTCTAGAAGAAACCGCTAATGTGATTTACGTTCAGTCCAAGGCAAGAGATGTATTCAACGATTCATCCCTAGAGTTGATGATCACGCTTGAACAAACACCGAAAACTTTGAGAAACCCAAGTTTAAAGTTATTTTATTATAAAATTTTGGTTATGTTTTTATCATTCACATCAATTAAACTTTCAAAATTTGATCCTCCCTGCGCTTTATTGTGGATTGCTGTTGAAAGAATTATGAAAACATTTAAATAAAAGGTTGTCAATATCACTGTAGTGATTTAAAATATCTACATCGTTTAAACCTTAGCGAACTGCTAAGTGAGAAGTTTCTCCACAGTCAGTATTCCTTTTCCATCATTGTTAACTTCACGTCCCAGATTAATTTTTTTTTTTTCATATCAAAAGCAATAATTCATAATTCTTCGTAAATTGCAGACCTCTACAAGTTCTATAACGACAAAATATGCCTCGAATGCTGAGTTCTTAAATTACGAGACAAATGACCTAGTACATGTATAGCACCCGCTCGCAAAGATATCGTCATGGTGAAATAACAGAGTTCCCTTAACTAACCAAAATAAATGCCAACTGAATATGCCCAGATAGAGATCGTGACTGATCGAGAGTAATTTGGTAAAGTGCTCTCATCCGTAAAAATAAGGTGATAAATAGCTCGAATTCAAAACTTTTCCTTTTTCACGAAGTAAATACATCAAATTTCTTTCCACGCCCGCGTGGCTTTTCAGAACTTTGGTAACTAACTCTACGAATATATCAATGAAACCACAAAATTCTCGCCAATTGGATGACATTGTGGATCTATAAAAGGATGTTTAGCAGGAGGTCTAGACCATAAGCATGGAATATTCAGGTGAGTTAAGAAATAGCGGGGTTTGTTCATTCGTAACGTGAAATTACTTTAAAATATATGTAAAATATAATGAAAACGAGTCGAAAATCCTTTTGGAATTAATTAAAACAAAGAAATGGATGGTGAATGGATAGTGAAATAAAAAATAGTTTTGTAGCAATCATGTCAACAGTCTAAAGTTTCAGTTTTTGACAATTTGTGCTGAACTGCAGACCTGAGACATTTAGAAGAAGGAAAAACATGTAAATTTTCAAAAAGCAAAAATAAAACTTACTATTTGCGCAAGATAAAGCGTGTTTAGAGAGAAAAACCACCGAGATGAAAAACAAGTGGAGTAGAAGTGCCATTTCCACAACAACGGGATGAAACAAAGTCGTTTTGATGTTAGAGAGCTAATGAGCAAAGCAAGGAGCTTAACAGCAACTTGTTTACTAGAAATACGCCACCAGTTTAAAGCTGAACCTTGTAGTGGTGCGATAGCCAATCACAAATTGATGTCTAACCGATATTTCATTTATCCTCAAGCGGACTCCATTAGATTAATTGCTTTGAAATTGGGAATTCATTGTAGTAAGGCTCATTCTCAGGCAGGTTGCCATTAATAAAAAATGAGGCCTGAAAATTTGAACCGAAGGAGCATATTGTTCAGTTATGTTCTGCATTACACATAGTTTCTAATTTCAAACCGACAGATACAGGGTGTAGGTTTGTAAAGTCCAAACTTGATGGAGTGTTACTCATCGTAAACCTTCATGAATACGGTTGAGGTTTAGTGGTTTGAAAGCACGGACGAGCCTATCATGTTCTCACGACGCATGTCTAGCATTTTTTTAAAACAAATATCCATCTTAAACATTGCATTTATATCAATTGATATTGTCTACGTTAAAACGCCTACATTTGAATAAATGTTTGGAAAATACCTTGAAACCGATATAAAAGTTTAAGAACTTCTCTTCTCTTCATTGTGCATCGTAATAATTGGATTATGAAAATACATTTATGTTGGATCTTAATATTACTGTGGTGATGGTAAAATATCTACTAAGTTCATCTCTTAGTCACCTTCCGAATGAAATGTCTCCGCTTATGCGCGGTCAATAACAACAATCGTTTTTCCTGTTTTTCTTTTCCAGACTGGCGGTTTTAAAAGATCAAATTTGTAGGCTATTTGAAAAAACCATTTTCACCATCGTTGTCACAGTCTTGAAAACGTTTTTCGATGTAGGAGACACTGAAAATAATTTTTTCTCTTTTTTAAAGCATTTCAGAATGAGCTTAATTCTTTGTTTACAAGACTTCTACGCCTTTTATCGATCGTTTTTATTTTCCTTTCGTTGACTTTTTTAATAACCACCCAACAGATTATTCATAGGTGTCGAAATACACTTGTTACGTTTATCTTCACTGCCAATTATAAAGAAACAGATATATATGGAAAAAAACACAAAAGCTATCGACCGCCGACCCTTGGGACTATTTTATAACTGAATCTCGCTTTCCAGCCATGAAGTCTCGATTTGTACTTATCACCTCTTTTAAAAGTTGTTAAAAAACCACATTTTCCGTACTTACGCTTAATGAAAACAATTTGCATTATTTTCATAATACATACCAGCTGAATTTGTTTCACGTGAAACGCCTTCGTATTTCATAAATATTTTGAAAAGGACATATATAGGTCGTAAATCTTCTCTTCGCTTTATCATGCGTCTGCAATGATTGAATCACGAAAAGCAAAGAAACTATTCGTGGTCGTATTCTTTCAGCCTTGGGAACCCGCCGAGAACCGGCTTTCTCTGAAAAATTTTTCTGCGCTTTCTTTTTTTTACCTCATAATGGTCTTCTAAAACTTCCCCGAGAAAACTGATCTTAAAAATTTGGAAATCCGCCACTGTTTACATCTCAGAAATTTGCGTGGATTTGTTAGCGTTGCTTTACATGATACTTCATCTTTATCAGCGATAACCTTACTGACAATAGTATTCGATCAATGAGCGAGCGGTAAATTACGTTGATGTGATATTCTCCCACAAGAAAAGTGAGCGATGCAAATATTATAGCCTCCTAGCCCTTTTTTCTGGAATTTCGTCAAATTTCGTTGACCTTTGGGAATAATTCCGGCATTAGTTATCACTCAGAAGTCTTAAATCATTTTGTTAACTGGAAATTTAAAAAATGCAAACTAGAGGGGTAAATATTTTACGGAACAGAGCCAATTTTGCTTCCCAATTCATATATGAATTACAGGATGAACAAACTCTCACGCCAGAGAACTCATTAAGCAATTAAGCAATCAGAATCAAACGACTGCTGTAGAACCCATGCAAAGAATGAAAAAAAGCTAGATTTTACCGAAATGTTTTGCCTAATAGGGTGAAAGTCGTTTCTGCACGGAACTTGCGTAAGGTGAGAGAAAAGTTCCATTATATTCTATATAGCGATTTAATGTGAAGTGAAAGCAGCAGGAGCTCAGTTAAAAAAAATAAAGAAAAACTAAATGTTTATTTCCATTATATTCTATGTAGCGATTTACTGTGAAGTGAAAGCAGCAGGAGCTCAGTTAAAAAAAAAAAAAAAAACTAAATGTTTATTTATCGGGGTCGGCTTTCATTGTGAAAGTTCCTTAAGGAAATTCACCTTCTGTTAATCATAATTAAAGTTATATAGACCGCCATTGCGTGAGGGCAGGGTAATGACACTTAATCTAACGTCGAACTTCGTTTTGCGCGGAAGAGATCACAAAAATATACCTCTCGGGAGGCACCGGTCACAGTGACTTTAGGGGGGCTGATTTCTAAGCCATTGCGCTCTGAGGACCCAGGATATCACTTCTGAAAGTTGTTGCGCACGTTGGTCATGCAACTGTTGCTCACTGTTTTTAAAATAGTTTTGCATTGCATCGAAATTAAGAAACCATCAAACTCGTTTAAACACATCTTTTGCGTTATCCACTTTAATTCACTCACTAAACTATTTTTCAAAGCAGGCGTTTGTAAAGTTTTATTTTCTTTCGTTATTAGAGGGCTGGCGAAGAGCCTCGATCCATTTCTGGTTCAATTTGTCCATGTGAGTAAGGAAGTAGCAATATGCAGTCTAGAAGTCTAAATCTGTAATACAAGTGACCAAACGGAAGGAAAACCAGTAACACTTTATTATCGTAAGGATAAGATGATACGAGCACAACAGGCTACTAAGAGTGAAACTAGTTTTTATGAAAATCAACAGTGACATTTTCAAATTTTAACTTAAGAATAAAGTTTGATTTGAAGCCCTTAACTGAATACGTTGGGAAATTGACGAATTCATCATCATAAAATAAACAAAGCAACACCGACTATTCTCTGTCCTGTTGTAAAGCATAACGGAAGTGTACTCGAGAAAAAGAGGAGAAGCACCTTGTTAAATCTTTCTGTTTGAATTTCTTCTAGCACCCAATGCCACGCGATTTGTACACGAGGTTGAGGTTTTGTTGGCAGATTATTAAAACCGCCATCTTGATCTTATCTTGTTTTCTGATCGTTGGGTCAATACACAACAAACCTGACAACACCTGGTGTTTTTTCGTGCTTTACCTTTCCCTCAGAACGGCGAGAAGTCAAGACTTTGTTTGTCTTTATTTATTAATTATTAAGTCTTGTGTTCGCAAAGTGAGTTCTTGCTAACTTTTGGGTCTAGCATGTATATCAAATTGCAGTGATTTAGTAAAGATAAACTGAGCAGATATCTCACAAAGCCATGTATTAAACACACAACATTAGCAAATTTACAACTAAATTACTGCCTAGCGCAAGATAAGTGTAGTTATTAACAAAACAATTACTCTTTATACTTACGACTTTCTTAACAATACGTAAGGTAAGAGTGATTTTTTCTCTCTTCGATGTGAATATCTGCCAGTCGTTATGATGAAAAACTAAAAAGTTGTTTTTCGATTCATTTCCGTGGTATCAAAACTTGAGCCTTTGATGGTACAAAGTAAAAACATCAGGTTGTAATATAAGTACATTTAGGATGGAAAATGAATCCATCTGTGTTCGTTAGGAATACAGTTTGCGTCTGTCTTATGACCTCCAGACCATGCATATTCGGTTCCACGCCTTACATTCGGTGGTCGCATATCAAAAATGGACGCAGCGTAAACGTAAACTTATTTAATGCAGGTAAAATTGGTATTTGATAAAAAAAACCCGATTTTACTTCCAACACACCTAAATTGGAAGATATACTCAATTTCTACGAGTACGAAACAACTCAACTGACTGGATAATCGTATTCTTTGCTATTACCGCTACTTGTTTCAGTGACATCATAGTCCTACATAATTTGTTCCCAGCATGTGAGAGAGAGGAAGAGAGTAAAAAGCCCACCACCCTCTCTTGTCCCCAGCCCCCTCCCCACTCACCTAGCCCTGACAAGAGGTGACACAGGTGTGCAGCAATAAAGTATCTGTCCTCAATTTCTATAAATTGATCGGTCTCATCTTCATTTCAGCTCTTTTGGCTGAGTGATGTAGGAATCCATGCCACCGAATGCTATCATAACCGGTGTACTCTCCATTATGGTAAACACCATTTAGGCTGCTTTCGTAGCAACTATAATACCACCAAGCTCCTTTATAGGTCACAGCACAATTGGAAGAGGAAATATCTTTTGTCATGAATGGATAACCATTATGGTAAGCCAGCGAGTCACTAGCGTTTCCTGAAAAAAAAAAGATAAATAAATAAACACCGACCATTTGTTCACAGCAACAGCCATTTTAGAGGTAGGGGCTTAGACATCAGGGTAGTGGACTAGAACTCGAAACACTCGATTTTTCAAACGTAAATCATAGGCATTTTGAAGGGATCGTAACGAAAACTTACCCGAGTAATTTCTGACGTTCAGTTGGTACTTTGTTGCCTCATTGCCAACCGTAAAGACATTGTACTCGGCATAGGCTGTATTTCCCGACATGTCTTCCAAATCAACACGAAGCTTGTAATTACTGCTGTTAGTAAGGCGGTGTATTTTGTCCAGTCCAAGCCAAAACTCCCCATTCAAGCTACCAAAGCCAGTTTTGTAGTTAATCCAGTTGAGATAGAAGTCAACAGAGCCGTCCAGTCTCTTCTGGAACACAGTCCACCCCCCACCAGCTGTTGTTTGGTCACAGAAAACACTGAAGGCACCTGAAATGTCCGGATTGATGGAGTAGACGCCATTGCTTCGTTTGCCTGAATTATACTTATCAGCACAGTTTTTAGCATCTGTAAAATAAACAGGAGTGTGGAAAATTGAAATGCTAGCAAGACTATTCCAAATTGAGTTGGTGACGACTTCAAAATGCCGTGCGTAATCAAATGATATCCACGTGAAATAAAAACAATAGGGAAAAGAAAAAGTCACAGATTAAAGGTTCTTGTGACCTAAAAAAAGTATTTAGAACGACAGGGAGGTACAACCCGGATAGTCGAACGTTATGGAAAACGTTTTTGATTTTCCTATGACAGTTCAAGAACAAGCTAGGATGAGATCAATTGGTTGGTACTTGATTCAAATAATTCCTTTTTTTTTCTTTCTTTCGCCCAAGTATTTATTTAATTTCTTAGTGATATTATTTAGTAAACAGATCTGCACTACAAATAATAGCACCTCTTTGTTGCGGCAGTTCGCTCTGATGTTTGAAAATAAATAAAGCAGCCCGCTAATAATCTTAAAATGAATCTGAAGTATAATGGATTACACTAAGACTCTAAATCGTCACATCAACTCCCGATTTGGATACTTAGGGCTTTAAGATTGCTCAGAATAAAAATGAACACGACTGGGTCTGAGATGGGTTTTAAAGAAAGTTTACCTCGCTTTGCACATGTCATTCCATTACCAGTAAATCCAGGCTTACAGGAGCAGCTATAAGAGCCAAGAGTGTTGTGGCAGTCGGCATTTATGTTGCACACCCGAATAGAAGCACTACACTCATCAATATCTGTTGGCAAATTTACCAATGTGGAGATGAGATTTAAATGTGCGCTAGAATTTAAATGTGAATATGAAAGCGATCTTCGCAGTAATGATCTATTTTCGTGGTCACGTCTTTATCCGCAGTTCAAATATATGACTTTCATAAATTCACAGTCTTTAAAATAGAAATGTCCTTGGTGATAATACTAACCTCGAAATATTTGTTAAAAATTATCAACTTGAAATCGAAACAGCCTAATACCATAAATTCTCTTTCGGCTTACTTCATCTTTTTGTTGAGAATATTATTGAAACTTAACTCACTGGCGTGAAATCTTCAGACCCAAATGAATGAGGAGGGGGGGAGTGGGGGAGGCTAGAGTTTAATTTTCCACATACATGTATGAAAGTTATTTTCAGTTAGTTCAATGAGATTTCAGACATGGCACGGGAAGGAGGGGGGAAAGGCTAGAGTTTAATCTGCCACATACATGTATGAAAGTTATCTTCAGTTAGTTCAATGAGATTTCAGACATGGCGTTTGAGGATGATAAGGGCTTTTGGACCATAATAAATTACCATCTGCTTGAGGAGGTACACATGGTAAGGAGACGGTGATCGAGAAGCCAGAAATAACATATACCGTGCCCCCCCTCCTCTCTCTCTTTACCGCAAGGGTTCTCGCGTTACACTGAAGTCTATATGAATTTATGTGTCTCTTCACCTCTACAAGTTTTTCCACCACCCAGGAATCCGGCTTTGCACGAACAACTGTATGAACCCAGAGTGTTCTTGCAATCAGCGTTAGCGTCACAAAAAGGGATAGAGGCATTGCATTCGTCAGCATCTACAAATACAGGGATCATAACTTGTTTTATCAAAGTCAATAAATAAGTATGGAAAAAGACGGTTGTTTTCGTAGGTTTCACGCAAGCATTTTGTTATTGACGCAATTCATTGGATTCGAGATATTATGTCGTACAGTTCAAGAGCGACCCGCGTCTCCGCGGTTCTGAACTGCGCAACCGGCCAACGTAGTATTATTCGCCTGATGACTTCTTTCATTTAACAGCATTCGTTTCAACTGCTATACGTCATTTGCGATTCACTATTATGTATCTTCCCCCTTTTTGTTTCTTTAAAGCCAAATCTTTAAATCTACTAAGAGTTTGACTCAAAAACGATATATTCTTTTAACAAGGCAAAGGTATAGCCCATCTGGGCACATTTATTTTGAAATGCAATCCATCGAATGTATCAATGTATCTATACGTAGTCGAAAGAAATCACAGAGGCTGTTTGACTTTAATAGTACCAATGACTGTAAACATATGAAAACCATATGTGTGAACTGCGGTTTAAGAAATAATTTTGAAGATTTCGCATTAATGAACACTACTTAAGGAGTAGTGAGATAAGGCCCGAAAAAAAAAATCAGGCCTGTACGAGATTCGCACCCATGACCTCTGCTATACCAGTGCAATACCCCAGTTGGCTTGTTAGCTCAGTTGGTAGAGCGTTGCCCCGGTGTCGCACAGGTCGTGGATTCAAATCCCGTACAAACCTGTTTTTTTTTAGGCCCTACTTTCACTACTGTTAAGTAGTGAAAGTAGTTTGAAGATCGCTTTCAAATTCATTGGCATCATTATTGATCAATAAAATTACCTTCGATCTTCATGTCACAGTGAAGTAGAACTGCTCTCTTAATGAGATTCACCCAGTAATAACCACTGACTGCTTGTCCACCTCCACTGGCCTTGATTTCCTTGCACGAGTCTGCAGGAAGCTCTGGAATGGCACCGAGGATTACTGTAAATTGGAAGAGAGAAAGACTCTATTTTGTTTCCGTACTGGGTAACTGGTAACCTTTATTATTTTGATCCGAAGGCTTACCTCTATTCATGTCTCGTCTGAAGTAATATCTCTCAGAGTTGGGCACAAAATCTTCAGGCCTGGCTTCCTTTGTACGATTACTCAGCTCACACTTATCTTGGGTGAAGACATAGTTAAAGCTTTGGCATCTGATGTCATGATAACATTCCCGTAAACACTCATCGCCGAATGCAGCTCTGGTGATTGTTTTAAAGATGTGATTTTGTAACATCATCCCAAAGATGGAGTCTTCGCGAGTATCACGGTGGTACTGTGTAAATACTGAATGAAAGAATACCAACAGGGAGAGGAAAACTGGCAAATGAAAGAACCCTTGGACCACCATCGTGGTTTTTTCCTAACTGAAATGAAAACCGGAATTTAATGCTGCACATATCTACACTTATGTAGCCATCCACAGAAAAACAGGGAGCATGTAATTATAGGGGCACGCGGGTTATAACACGATACGTGCAACGGGACATGTAGTTCATGAACAAAGCAAAGACAGGCATGGTGAATTTTGTTTGGCTTTGTTCCAAGCAGTCTTACAAACGGGACGCCCGTGAAACGTGCTATATAACACGCATGCAAAAAGACCTAATGCGCAAGCGTGTGTGTGCGATGTGGTACGATCTGGTGCGGGTCGATAAGACACGGCTGCTAAAATAGTACTAAAGTGCGTTTGTCTGTGGTTCTAAATTACGTCAGGAAGCTCCATAAATGCAATTACTGAATAGCACCCCTGTGCAAGAGAGAATTATAGAGCACGACAGCTATATCTGAATCTCTGAGGGAGACACAGAGCGCCACCGTTTCAAAGCACACCCATAACACCGAAAGCCACTCACTCTAGAACGAAATAAAAATTTATTGATCGTAAGCCCTGTTATTCGTCACTTGCAAGGTAAAAACACGAGCCGCAGCTAAGTATGTCACTGATGTTCTTATTTCATTTTGACGTCTTCTTACTTTTCGCGCGAGTTCAGCGTGACTTTATTTGCTGGTTTTTTTTTTTCGTGCAAACAGAGCCTGGACTGAAACAAATAGCAGCTAAAGTTGAAACCTAATAGGCGGGGCATTTTCAGTCTAATCTTAAGTCATTTCGATCACAAAAGGGAACATCTTTTTGTAAATCAATAAAAAAGCAAAAAAAACAGGCGCTTGAGTTGGAGAATTAAGTTCTGAGTCTTCGAGGAGAAACTGTGGCTCATTTTGAGTCATTTTAACTTATATCCCTAACCTTCGTGTCTTAAGATTTCCTCGACACCATTTCATATTTAGAGGTACATGTATCAACCACGATGATAAACCGAACGTTTTCGATCATATTTAAACTGATAATCTGTTGCCATATTTAAACTCGACTTCAAATATAATTTTTACCATAGATTCAAATTATAAGTGGCTAATAATGATGACTTAAAGATCTTACTTTCCAAATACTTTTCTTTTGTTTTTGATCCAAATACAACTTTCCCACAAAATTACAACAAATACTTTTTTGCCAACTTGAAAATGCATTTCTTACGCTTGGCAGCGCTGAAGATTTCCACTAAGAATGGAACTGTTAGTTAAAATGTATCGCATCGACCACTTCTCTTATGCTAGAGACTCACCTGAGGGAGTATCGCAGAATTCCTTTCCTTTCAAGATCAATACAAAGACCTTCAGTTGGAAACGTAATGGTCGTTTAAACCCAGCCTTCGCTGAGATAAGAAACTTCTAAAGGCTGATACGTGCTAAAATGATGCAGCATGGCAACACGATACCCTATTTTAAAACCTCCCTTAAAATGCCACCTGAAGATTTACTTTGTAAATTAATCTGAGTTGAATATCTGTTTTGGCGGGGAGTCAAAACATTATATCCTTGTCATAACGTAAAAAAAAGAAATTAAATTTTTAATATTCCTATACAAATCTCAGAATTCATTCGCCTCTAAAAACTCGTTCCTTTCCATCTTCCATTAAAACACAGTTCATATCATAAAGGAGTTAGCATAAGGAGGAAGTCAAACTGTGCGCGCGCGAAATGTATCTAAGACAGGTTATGAAGTCAGCGAATGATGTTTTGAGGCTATTTGTTTGAAGATTTGAGTAAACAACGGTGCTGTTAATTCTGAGTCTCCAATGAGAATTAGAAGAAAGATATCGTTTCATCCAGAATTACACCCTGTAACCGTGGTGTTTTTGGGACCTTGGCCGCACTGTTATGTTAAGAATCATTTGTATATATTGAGTGGATACGATTATACAAATGAAGAATACTCTTTAATTGCAATTAAACACAACAGTTTACGACTTTTAATGTTAAAGGAAGTGTTTTTCTTTCCAGAAACAATTTTTCCTATCACTTGGCTAGAAAATGCATTTTGTAGCCAATTCAGCATCGAAACTCAAAAATTGAAAATTTAAACATACGTTTTGAACAAGGAAACCTGCTTGTATGTTTGTGTCATTAATTATTCAGCGCTTTTAGCCACTGGTTTTTTTATAATTATTACCTATTTTGAAAATCTGAAGTTTACAGAGAGGTTAAGAGGAAAAGACAGAAGTTGATGATTGTTCAGGTCTACAGGATGTTCACGAGGGCGAACTTCTAGGGAAAGTTCGGTTTGCCGAGGAATTGTTGCAAGTATGTTAGTTTCTGAATAACTTTATATTCCTTTAATAAAGGAACAGGATAATTTTCTGGAACAGTACTGAGAAATTTTGGTGGAAGAATAATCTATCATAAACTATACCTTATCCTCTGTTTTGCGCGCAAATTTCGCACCTTTGAAATTAAACTGCCTTAAATTACCATAATAAAGCACTTAGAAGGAAAAAAAACAAGTTGTTTCTTTTGTTGAAAATGAGTGACTTTGCGGCATAAATTATTTTGTGACTAAGACTTAATTTCGGCTATTCCCGTCTCGATTTCCTGTCAACTGATTGTGATGTCATCTGTCAGCAGACAGGTAACTAGTTCGTTGTGTTGTCTTCACTTTCAAATTGATTGAGTTGACCATAAAGAACTTGAACGTTCATTTAAAACAAAGGTAGAAAAAGAAAATTGTGAGAAGCACGCACTTTTTTTATCATAGACACGACTGAATTAAACTCTTTCGAGTCAACTCCTTATTACAAAGGTAAATGCTAAATTTTGCTTTCAGCAAGTGAATTCGTTTATTTGATACATGTATAGTGAGGGCACAATTCCTTGCTGAGTCTCTGATCCGTAAAGTCTTATTGATGTTTGTTGAATGACTTAGAATTATTTCGCAACAAAAAATGTATTGGAAAGTTTTAAGTCAGTTAGCCATGACTGGCTTTATGGTTACTGAGCTGACTCTCTCGACTGATATTAGTGTGATAAAATATAAACCAATAGTTTCACTAGCAACCCATGTGGCTTTTTCAGTGTTGGTAAAAGGTATCTCAGATGTATGGGTCTCCTCTCCACTAATGGAAGATCAGTGGGTGAACTGAGAAATTAAACTGAATATGAGGGTGGGAAGGTGTAAATAAAAAATAAAATCGGCGAGGATGAAAATGCAAAATTTTCCTCAGCACCCAATGATTTACTAGACCACCGAAAACAAAAACACAAGCTAAAAATTTCGGGTTTGAAAAACAATATCCATTCGCGCGAAATGGCCACTTGAAATGTGGACAGGTGAAAATCATTTATTGTTCACTCACCAGATTTAATTTAGCAGGATGCTAATTGTCGATGCTTCATTTATTCTCACTGTTACGCAACAAAAGTTACCTCGCATATAAACACTACATAAATAGAGAACGTGATTATTTTCTTTACATCTTAAGAAAATGCACCTCGGTCATACATGAAAATAATCAATCCTAGTGATCTCCCCATTAACAAAAGACAAAGGAGAAAGTTAAAATATTCCAATTCCTTTTCGCACAGCACTGACAACATCTCTTATTTTGCAATTGTTCCGCTATTTCTCTTTGTCAGAAATTATTATGTCATTCCTTTCTCAAGTGCTACATCTTAAAAGAAAACTCCATTCAGGGAATGTAGACGTCCAGTGTGCACACATGACTTGTATACTTTGATTGTTTGTGGACTCTTTTCTTGTGCCACGCACGTGTACTTAGGAAGTGCGGATGGTAAACGCGTTTAGGTCACTGACAAGGCACGCATTGTTCTCATCGTTGAACAGAGGTAAACAAAGAGGCAGACATCTGAGCCATGCGCTGGCTTGAGACATTCCATACTCATAGTCCCTCCTTTCTCCTCTGATGATCATTCCGGAAAATGAAAAGAGATGCTTTGAAGGAACCTGATAAGTTTCTCGTGGCATTCCATCCGGGAGGAGGAACAGTAACCCATGTTACTAAATCCTATAGAAATGGGGATGACTTTTTTTTAAGGGAGGGCAGGTCAAGTCACCTGTAGTCAGGTTTTCAGGATACCACTGACGTTTACTGAGCGTGGTAGAATGTGGTGGTGTATTCCAATTGATTGTCTTAGGATGTTTCATCTTATCATAAACCAGATCCATGTGACTGACCTTGGAATCCTTTCACAAGTTATGGTAGCGAGTAATTGGGAATTTTGGGGGCTCTTCTTCTGATTACTATGCAACAAGAATGTGACTTGGGTGGTGCAGGTAATAGCACAGCCAATGTGGTCCCTATGGAATTTGCAAGGGATGGTTATCAAGTTCCTCTGTTGGTAACCGTTACGTAACTGATTATTTGACTTTAAATGGTGACAGCATTCTCTGCCTCTAGACATTTGGCAAGTTATTTAGCGGCACTATTTTTTGTGTCTAACGGATTAATTACCTGTAAATGTCTAGTGGGCTGCCTTTTTATTGAGAGCAGCACTGCCGGCTGAAGTATGTTTCTTATGGTGCTGCAAGTACTGATGGGTGCGGCTCCTGTCCCTGCGTTCCTAGTTTAGATGAATTTTGATAATATGGCTTTAAATTCTCTTTTCCAGAATATATCGGCACTCAAAACTTGTATTGCTGAACTGAATTGGACTAATTCTCCAAATACATGTCAGAGCCATTTTGGTGACAATTTGTCAGTCTCACTGCCAACTTGGAAGAAAAATAAGTGAGAAACTTCTGGGATGAGGTGGTTTGTAACACACTGAGGAACCTCTCTGGGAACAAGTTTCTTTTGGAGGGGTTAAGCTGTGCCTGAATCTTACAGGCTAAAAGGAAAATGAAGGAGTACTGCAAATGAGTCTCTGAGTCATGAGGTTTTAGGAAATTGTTGGTGATTGCAATATAGTGGACTATTCCAATAACATGATTTGCAATTCAGGTGACATTTTTAAAGAAAACATGACAATTTTTATTTACCCTACATGTTTACCTTACATGTCTCAAGCAGGAGATCCTCAGATATGAAGCTTTTCCACAGTAGATCTACAAGTTATATTTCCCCCTGCATGCATAATGTTTTAAATAGTTTATAAATAATATTGGAATTGTAATATAGCATGTTTTATTTTATTTTAGCTTATTTTCTTGAAGATATTAGCTCTACAGCTACACTGTGAATTTCAAGCATAAATAAAGTATATGTATGTATGTATGTTTAAAATAATTTATGCTGGCTGTTCAGATTCACACAAGCTGATGATAAGTTTAACATTCTGAGTTTTAGCTCACCACTTTAGATCCTCAGACTTCTACTAGCCAAGATGAAGATGAGTTTTAAATCTTTAGCTCTCATGAATGACCAAGACAGAATTTCTCCTCAAAATATCAAAACAATATCAAGCAGACAAGTAGTGAAAATGAAGGAAAATATCAATTTGGAACTTATTAGTCCATGCTATCAAAAGAATTGTACAGTAGACAGTAAAGAGAACTGCTAATGAGATCTTGGGAGTGAAAGAGTTAAATAGCATTGCCATAAGAATGCACTGCTTTGTTTTGTGATGCAATTGATGGGGATGATATTGTAAATCAAAGTTCCTTTGTACTGTCCCTCTGGTCAGTAGGATCTTGGATAGCTTAGAAAATACTATCAGCCAGAAGAACAGGTTGTGGACAAACTCAGCTTAGCTTAAGTATATTCACAGATTTGGTAATATAAGAGTTCCACACATTCCTGTTAGACTAACAATTCCTTAGAATCACCCTAAAAGAAAATTTTAATTCTCTCCTGTCTCAACCCTCTACACACTTGCCTTATCATGCGTGTTATCACATATGTTCTCTTGACATATTCTAATGTGCAGACAATGAAAATTTGTGTAACAATTAAGAGCTTCCTTGGTAATGTGTACTTCAGGGGTAATATTGTAAAGAGAAACTAGATGCTAGTCACTCTTAGGGGTCAAAGGGTTAACTCTACAGGCTGGAGAAACAGCTTAGTACTTAGGAGCAAGGCTGTGCATTTACCCTTTGATATATAGGAATTGTGCACATTTTTCTTTCATCTTTCATTACAATTAAAAGAAGCTCTTGATTGTTAAACACATTCTTCTTGCCTTAAGAAATGTATGGAGAACAGTGAGAGAACATGTATACTGGTACTAAGATGTAAGGGGTTAAGTAATGTTTAGTCTTGTCAACATTATTTTCAATCATAAGAAAACATCATGGTGATACTGTTCCTTTCAAAGAATTTCTGTCCAGGCTTAAGCAGAATACATGTCAGATTTCAGTACAACTGGCTGAGGTGTTAAAGTTTACAAAGCCTTTTAGATTCAAGTCATTTTAAAGATTGTTATGGATGATACCCATAAAGATGAGTTTCTAGAAATTTCTTGAATACCTGGTCATGCTGACATGCATGCTATGGAACTTTCTAGAAATATTCAACTAGGCCATATAAATCATGATGTAATACTACCAAAATAGTTGTGTTGAAAGCTTTGAGAATGTTCTAGAATACTTTGTAAATGTATATAAGGATTAACTCATGTACTAGTTGTAGATTTTGTGATTGTCAACTGCTTGGAAAGCCATACTGACAGAGAGTTACTGTGCAAGATTGTTCATTCAAGAAACTTTGGAGAAAACTGTGAGTTTCTGTTAGTGGTGAGCTGGGATAGAGACTGTAGAGTGCTTAAACAAGTTTATTAACCCTTTAACTCCCAGATCAAATTTGTAATTCTCCCTACTGTCAACCATACAATTCTTATAATGTTAGTTCAAAGAATTTAACATTATATAAACTAATTATCCCCAAACTGATATTTTCATCACTTATTTGGTTGATACTCAATTGATATTGTCCAGAGAAACTCTGTCTTGGTCACTCATGGGAGTTAAAGGGTTAAGGATAATTACTGTACAGCTTTAGGAATTGCTGCTTAGTTAAAATATTACAAGTTGGTTTGAAGTAGTTGGGTTTGAATGAGTATTGTGTTCTTTCTGCCAGATAACTTATACTGCAACAAGATGTTTAATTTTTAGTAGTAAAGAGATCTCCAAAAAAAGAAAGTACAAATCAAAGTTATGTGATACCTTTTTGAGCCAAAGCTCATTTTCAAATACAAAATATAAAAACTTTCTCATCATACAATTGTATTTTCTGAGCTAACAAGGATCATATTGATCTTAGTAACAAGACCACAGAGCATGAAAGTATTCCTGAAAAGTTATTCCAATGAAGAGGTAAACAAGAGGCAGATGTAGAAAAGTATCCCATTAATCAAACTGTAAATGAAAGTAAGCTAAGGCCAGGTAAAATAAAAGGTATCCTTCCAACTGGTGATTTTCAAAGAGGCTAGCAAACGGTTTATACATGATGCATGATTAAGGCCAAAATAAAAATGTAAAGCATGAATTTCATAGAAAAGCAAGTGTAATTAATTAATGCATTTATGAACCAGCATAAGGTGTCATCTGCCTCCTGAAATATACATGACTTGGAAACCTTTTCTGTCATTTCCACAAGATTCCCTGAAAACTTTTACAGAAGAAAAGAGATTTGAAGATTTTTCTCTTACGTGTGTAAAACCCAAAGTTTCCTTATACTTGTGCAAGAAAGAGGATCAGGACCACCCCTCCCCCCCTTTTAAGATTCTATTGACCAAGGCCCAGTTGTTCAAAGGCTAGTTCTTAGGTTAAGTTTAAAGTTTAACATGGGTTTCTATATTCCTTTGTTCAGAAGCCTTTTTGGAATAATTTTCTCTATCCTATTTAGAACATCCAGTTAATCACATTCTAGTCAGAAAGAATGACACTTAATTTTTTATCTAAAGCTTTGAGATCTAAAATCAGATTTCATAATGGTCCCAAGTTGACATAGAGGAATAAGATCACAACTGAGTATCAAAATTTTCTTGTAAAACAGTTCCAACTGACTTTTGGATAGGAGAGAATTGCAGAAAAGTTTTCTATCAATCCAATGGTTGGTAAAATTGGGCTAAGCTGGCTTTACATATTAGCTGTCCCTCTGGCTGTAGTATTTGGAAACCCTCCCTCTCCCATAAGTGATTAATCTTCAACCTCTCCCTACAATATTCATTCATTATCCAGCCAGTAGGTAATGAGAATACTCAAAGTTATCCGGCAGAAGTTGTTTTCTTGATCTAACATCAATTTCTTGTAACTTATTAATGAGTAAATGAGCAGGATTAAGAAGAGAGAATTATCGATCAGATCTCGCGAGTTAAAAGGTTAGCTATCCGAGATTCTATGACCCGACTAAGGAACCTTTGATTTAGAGGATCTCTCGAATCAAATGCAGTACAAAACATACATTCTTGTGGCAAAACTATTTAAGATTACATTTTACCTTCGCCATCGTAGGTCTCTCAACTGTATTCTTTACATTTGAGGTGACTAAACATGTTTGTGTCTAGTTCTAGAACCTTGACTGTTGTTAAATGGACCCTTGTAATAGCCGACAATTTCCGAAAACCATCCGACTCGGAAACTTGTCAATAGTACTCCTCGACTGTTCGCTCGGTTTTACTACTAACCAATAGGATTGACAACGAATGATTCTCAGAAACTCGTTTCTAGTACTCCTCGGTTACAATTCTGGCAATGCGTGGTCGCAGTCGATTTCGAAGCAGGCTCATCAACTGGGGGCTGTCCTGGGACACGGGGGAATTCCTATTGTTTTCATATCCATACATGGAGTTGTGACGCATTCGTTAATGTTTCGTTCCTTTGAGTACCGGTACACGAGGAAACAACCCATCAACTGGGCAAACTTAACTGAGGCGTACGCCGAATTTTCCCAGTTGACGGATTTGCTGCTTTCCATCTACTACAACTTTTTAAAAGCTGTTTTTTTTCGAGTGAATGGTTAACACTCATGAAACCGAAGACCTGGTAGTATTTTTGCCATTCGTCGTGGACCTCGTTGAGCAGTCCAGCTCTTGTGGTTTAACACATGGCTTGAACACACACTTGCAAAACAAGGTCCGAGCGCCGTGAAGTAAACTTTTCAACGTTGGTCTTACAGATAAACTCCTTACATCAAAAAGACGTAGAAAACATGGAACACAGATACACTGAACACGAGGAGGATAAGGTACGTTAAACGTTCGTTCAAATGAAGCTCAATTTCCTTTAAGCTAAATTGGTCACATTCCTGCTTGTGCACACTTTGCTGCATTAAACGCGAACACGAGATGAACGCAAAGAGCGAAGATACATAAATAGGTTTAAATGCGAGACCTCTGGTTAAAGACACAGATAAAACTTAACATTGATTTTATGGTTTCACAACTCTCCTGGAAAAAAAATCCAGAATTTGGGAGTTCACGTTGTATGGAAATTGTAATGAATAATTCATTAACTTTATTTTGCGACAAGTTTTCCTTCGTAACTCGCGCACATCAAGATTTTCTTTCCTATTTTATTGTTATTGGGGAAAATGTAACTTGCGTCATGAACTTCGAATTGACTAAAATACATGTACGAAAACGGAAAAAAAACAAAAAAGTATTTCGGAAAAAGCGTTCGCGCAAAGGTATGGTTTACCAGTGGTTGTGATAGTGGTAATTAAACTGAAATGGCTGGTGTAAAACAATTTTGTCTTCACAGAGATGTGAAAAGTAGATTTTATAGGTGTTGTTTTCATACAGTGGCAAGGAAACAATGAATTAAAAAAAATGGAAATTAAACAAATAATTACAAAACAAAAATATGCTTAAGATCACCGGGTTTTCCTGTGATCTTTGTTCATGTCTTACATGGTTCAAACTCCATGTGTGGCATGCTGGTTTCTTAATTTCTCTTCCCCTACTAGAAACTGCTGAAGCCATGGATGTCTTTTCTTCTTGTGTGGTGTTTACACTTGGCTTGGTATTCACTGGTTCTTTCATAGTAGTAGTGGTGGTTGGGTTTGGCTGCAGAGTTTCTGGACCTTCAAAATCAAGTGGTTCATGTTTATCTGGGGATGCTGGTTGATTTTAATGACAGTGTTTCTTGTCTTTAATCTGGCTTCTTAAAGTAGGAAGTGTTGTCTGTGACTTCTTTCTGGTGGGTAGTTTGTCTGGTAGTGACTAGTAATCCTATGACATTTGGGATGGCAAAGGTACTGGCTCAAAGAGCAAGCTTTACTTTAACTGCAAGGTTGCAAGGCTAAGTGTGTTGTTTGAGGTCAGGGCAAACCTTTGATAAATTCTAATTGTTAAGTAGCTCTTTCAATGTGAAATATTGCCTGGATTGATTTGATCGTAATAATCATTGTCTGCTGCTCCACTGTGGGCTTTTGATTGCAAAGGGAAAAGTGGTGGTGTTTGATTGAGGTAGTGACAGACTATTGAAGCTAATTACATTTGCACCTTTGAAATTTTTTGTAAAGGAAAATTCACAGTTGTATTGAAGTCTCTTAAATTTATTTTTTGGTAAACAATCTTATAGTAGACAAGATAAAAGGTGCCAAAAACCTTTTCATTCATTACCTTAGTGGCTTAAAGTAGTAGTGAAGCTGTAGCTGCTTACTGCAAAAGGGAAAATTTAGTTGCAAATGGTACTGAAACCACAAGAGGTTCTTGGTGATGGACTCAGCCAACTTATTTGTGGTATTCTTCATATGCATGCGTCAATGACGAGTTGGCACTTTCTCTATGGGTATAGAAATGATAATAGTGTTTTATTGATAACACCTCTAGAGGGTAGCCGTATATCTATCAATTGAAATGGTTAAATGAGGGATAAATGAAAATTTAAAAAGTATCATTGTTAAATACCACATTACATCATGGATAAAAATGGAAGAAACTGGTTTACAAATTTAGGAGGTTGACCTATTCTAGTGGCTTAAGCTTTGCCAAGCAGAGAGTGCTTAACCTCTGGTAAAAATGTCAAGTTCCACATTGTTTCTGAAATCAGTTGAGAGCTTGTTTAAAAGAGTAGCAGCATGGTCTCAAAAAGTAGTTGCTCTTGGTTGGATTTGTACTCGAGCACCATCAGTAGATCTTAAGTTCCTGGATGACTCGTGTACATTTATATGCAAGTGCTTGGGCTGGGACTGGTTATAAAAAGCTTTGGGTCTGTGATGTTTCATTGTCTTTCTTCTTGTACTGAAACCATGGTTATTTAAAATCACATGATATGAGCCTGAATATTAAGCAGAAAAATACTGAAGAGATAAATTGTCCCTGCTTGTGTTTGGATTGCTGAGTTGCACCTTTTCCCAAGAAGTGATTTATAAATCCTCCTTCTTGAGACAATGTGGGTAGTACTAGAGGGTTAATTTAAAGAGTTATTTGTGCAAAGTCAAAGCATTGGCAGATGATGGTTTTCAGAATCTCTGTATCAGGGGTTAGATCATAAACACAATCTGATGATACAAAAGTAACAGTGTTAAGGTTTTTATTGGCTGTATCCTCCTAGAATTTGATTTTACAAGATTCCAAGGCTCTAGCTTGGCAAAAAAAGCTATCTGTACTTATGAAAAACAACTTCTCTCAAACGTTTAAACTAAATTTTATAAATTTAAGTGCTCTTAGACACAATCTAGTACATTTTGGGTGCCCAAATTAAGCAAATGAACAGTCCACGAACACAAGAAATGGTAATGTAATTAAAAAATGCAGCCATTTTCTGTTATATCATATGATATTTTGCAAAAAAAAATGAATATTACTATTTGATTCATCAATCACACGAATCGTCTGACATATTTTAAGCCAATAATCATCAAATAAGGCAGTCACCTAATTCTACAGCTCAGAGAAGAGCCGATCCAATATGAGGTGAAACAGACCTACTTTTTTTTTTTTTGCAAGTGGCATCCCCAACAAGGGGAGCCCAATGGAGTTTGAGGGCCCATGATTTGTTGATGACAGACAGACCCCCTTGTTTCCAAGTGTGATGAAAGATATCACATTAAACCAATTCAGTTTTCCCACCCCACAAGAAGTTCCAAATTGCTTTAGAGACCGTTGTGAAGACCCATTTGGGCATAGTTACCATGGTAACCATGTATTAGAGACCAAAGGTGTCAAGAGTATTAAGAATCATGGACTTGCCTTTTAATGATGGGTGGGACAACACCAGAGATTAAGGTTTTTAAATTTTTCAGGTTTTTAAATAATTTGATTTTCGCCAATCAGTCCATCTAATTAGCTTGATCAAGGTTAGCATTACCAAGATAAATGCTGAGGATTTTAAGGTTGTTGGCAATCCAGGTGTGAGCCAATCCTTAAGCCCTCAGTTTTCTTTGGATCTAGTTGTGAGCCAGAGCCTTACTCAAAAATGTTAATTATTGGTTTGTTTGTTTTTTTAAAAATCACATTTAAAGAACAAGTTACAGACATAATTAAAATTACTACACAGAAACAAGGTTTGGCCAACAACAGCTGTGCAATTGCTGTTGTGAGCATTTCACCAAAATTAACATAATCGCTCTAAAACAATTTAATTATATTAATAATAAGACATTTACTGTACAGTGTCACTATTACAATGAAGTTAAATACAGTTACTATTGGGAAAACTAATACAATTATTGTAATGATTACTGATGAAAAGTGAAAGAGAGAAACACAAGATAAGAATGGAAAGTTTTCAGTCCATTTTTTAGTCTGTTTTTAATTTTTTTTAACAAAATGATAACAATGTTAAAAGCCTTGACAATGGAGTAATCATTTGCCAATATTTAAGTGGTTTCATTGGTGCATTGAGACACATTGCTTACTTAATTATGAGAGTCAGGGATTTGAATTCCCTGAATGCTTGAGTCTTGTCAGATAGCTTGACTTAAATCTCATCTACCTGGCAATATAAGAGAGGGTAAAGGGGGCATCCTTGCCTTTTGGGTGAAAGAACAAAGAGAGCCAGCAGCTGTTGATAACTGAGGAGGTTATGTTGGTGTAAATAACCCAAACCCACCAACAGAAGTCAGAACTGAAATATAATCTCGCCAGAACCTGTTGAAGGAAAGCATGATTCATGTGATGGTGTGTTCTAATGTTGAGACACCCTGAAAGTGCTGAGGACTTGAACTTTACTGAGGGCTCTGAAAAGAATTTCTCTTGTTTATTTTGTATAGAGTGGACATTGTTAGGGCTGTCCACAAGTTGCTTCAATTTTCTCTAAAAGTTGCTCAAAAGTTGCCCTAAAATCCAAAAGTTGCTCAAAAGTTGCTTTCAATTTTTTTGTGTAAGAGATTGATTAACAACTTAAATAAAGATTTAATGAATAGATTTCACTTTGCATAGATATTATATACATAATTACACCATACTGACTCGTCAATATTGTAAGACTGAGTCTCTCTCAACCCAAGTCGTAAAAAACTGATTCTCTGTATTGGCTTTCTATTACAATAACCACGTGATTATATGTGAACAAAACAAACTTTGCTAATATGCTTATTAAATATATAAAGTTTCTCTGGCATGCACGAGTGTATGTGGTATAAAACCACCGTCTTTCAATATTTACATCTTTGTGGATGTAGTACAGAGAACTGTCCCTGTTGGTCAATGTTTTGCACCACCAGCTAGTCCTCTACAGACATATAATTCAAGATTTCTTGTGTGCTTATTTTCATTGTAATGTAACACGACCAATGTTTCCTCTGTTTCCTCTAATGCTGCCTCTTGCTGCTTGCTAAATGCATTTTGCGGCAGGCTAAACACTCGTTCAGCTGATGCTGAACTAGGCTGTACCAACAAGATCTTTTTGACTGCAGCAGACCAATTTGGGAGAGCAGTGGCATGTGTAGCCCACCTCTGTACTTTGCCTTCTTCTGTTTCAATGGCTGCACCATCAGCAATGGACAGATAGTTTGGCAGCTCTTCCACAAGCTGTACAACTTCTGCATCAGTAATGAAACTAAATTGCTTTAGTTCCTGGACTGATGCAGCAGTTGGATGTAGTGCTTGCACCTGTATTGGGCAGCATAAGTGTGCAGCCTTAAATGCACGGACAATATTATGGAATTGCACACTGAATTTCTGTTGGTAAAAGCGGAAGCCTGGATTGATACATGCCTTTGCTTGAGCAACTAACTGGTTGTACAATGCCATATTTCTACCTGCATGTTGGCGAGCTTTGGCCTCAGTGTTTGGATAAGAGTCAATGTCTATTGCATGTGCTAATGTAAACAAACGCTCATAGCAAGTAAATACTAAGGGACCATCCCCCTCAAGATAATAAGTTGCTTGAACAAAGTGCTTGCCTGCATCAATCGTAGCAGCGAGCTCAATGTCTAAGACTTTAGCAGTAGCCGGATCATCAAAAATCTCCAACAGGCTTGCACGGCAAACAGAAGACAGTGTGACGGTGTGTTAGGACATTAATGTACCAAAAGTTCCAAACCTCGATATTTTATTACAATAAATAACGGATGAAGGTTATGACAAAATCTATGGATATGGATCGGAGATTCGAAATCTGTAAAGTAATGCATTAACAAATTAGTTTCAGTTCATATCGATAATATCGAAAGAAATCAAGATAAATATTTACCCATTGGTTCTAGGTGTCCATAACACTGTCTAGCGATAGAAAATCTTAACAATTATATCTGTTATGTCATCAAATTATAATGCGCAAAGAAATTAGAATTTTGCGCAATATACTCCCTGCCGGCAATTACAGACTGTTTAAAGTTTTCGGTAAAAATCATTTCAGAATTAAACATAATAGTTCAGAGTTATTATTGCCAAAATGTTTTGAGATAGTTCATTTGTCTTCTGATGCAGGTAGGATAGTTATCAGCTTGTTAACTGGTCGTTCGATAGTTGTAAAGCCTTTCCCTTTGTATTCGGTCACTTTTTCGCCAGGCTTGGGATTTTTGTATTCGACGAGGGCTCGTCTGACCTTCCCGTCTTCCCCTTTGTAAACTTTTGATATTTTCCCAAGTTTCCATTGTCCTCTTTTCGCGTTAGAATCTTGGATAAGAACAATGTCATCAATTTCAAGGTTTCTCTGGGCCGTGTGCCATTTTTGTTGGACTAATAAGCTTGGAAAGTAGTCTCGAGTCCATTTCCGCCAAAATGAGTCAGTTAGTTGTTGTACAAGTTCAAAGCGCTGTTTGAGGTTGGACGGCTCTTTGAAAGGTCCACTTGGTACTCTTGATGTTGCTCTACCAAGGAGGAGGTCATTGGGACAAAGATAGGTATCATCTGTTGATGTAGGATGTCGGCCGATTGGTCGTTCATTTACAAGATTTGCCGCTTCGCAACAAATGGTTTGTAACTCGGAGAAGGTTAGAACGCTTTCACCAATAGCTAATGTGATTGCTTTTTTCACGGATTTAATAAGTGCTTCCGATACACCGTTTTGCCAGGGGGCATCTGCTGATGAGAATTTCCATTCAAATCCTTCCATTACTCCGAACTCTAATAGCTGTTTCTTATCTAAGTCGTTGATGACTTTCTTTAGCTCGGCGCTTGCTGCTACTAATTGGCTGCCATTGTCAGAATACAATTTGGAAGGGTATCCTCTGATCGATACAAATCTTCTTAGTACCATTAAGAATTTGTCAGTACTGTAATCAGGAGCTATGTCGATATGGACAGCTCTGGTTCCCATGCCTGTTTTGTTTGGTATTTCGTTGTTGTTCAACTGGATTGTCATCTTTCTTGTCAGTATGATTCACGGAACCCTTAATTTTTTCACTGCTCAGGCGTAACTCTGCGTTCTGGTATTCAAGAGCTCTCTTCAGGTTCAGTAGAAATCTCAATAGACTTGGAAACTTATCAGTTTTATCAATGGTGCTCGTGTCGTTGCTGACTAATTTCGCCCATTCTTTCATTACGTCAGGGGGTAATCGTTTCTCAATGATGCTGATCGAGCTAGTTGTAGTTATCTCTTTCTCCAATTTTAGGTTGCATAGATCGCGATAGCCTTCTTCAATGGCATTGACGAATTGAATGAACTTTTTGTGCTCACCTTCCTTAATACATTTAACATTCTGAATGGAATTGATGATGGCATCAGCGACTTTTGCAGGATCGCCGTATTTGGAGTCTAGTCGCTCCCACATTGCTTGGATGTCGTCGTCTACGCTTCTTACATGAGCAAGGGGTTCCATTCCTAAGCAGGATCTTAGCGTATAAGGTGCGGTATTAATATTCAAATTGGGCATAACTTGTTTCTCGAAGTCTCGTTTGAATTGGGGGTAATCTCTTAACTCGCCATCAAATCTCGGCATTTTGATCTTCTCAAGGTGAATATTGCTAGGTTTCATGGCATTAGTGGTAAGCTTAAGGGTTGCTCCGTCATTGGATTTGATGAAGGTTTTGCTTTCATTTTCATCGACGCGGGTTTCCATTAATTCTGAAATTTCACTGTAGCGTTGTTGAACGTCAAAAATCCACCCCAATTCTCGTTCTGCGGAGTCTTTATCAATGAGCTCGATTAACTTTTCGTGTTTTTGTTTACAGTCGACAAAAGCCTCTTCAAGCTGACTTTGCAAGCTTTTCATGTGCGTCGTTGTAACCTTTTCGTTTTCCATCGTATGGGAAGCATTACCATATAAGGCATCAAAGACTGCGCGTGCAGTGTTCCTTTTGTTGAGAATGCATTCCTTTTCTTTGCTTGCAGATTCGTCGCGTTCTTTTTCTGCGCGCGCTCTTGTTTCATTTTCTATGTATTCAAATTTTAAATTTCTCGCGTCCGTGTATAGGTTTTGTAGCTCTTCGAGCCAATTTTCTGCTGTGTTCATCTCGTCATCCTTCAGGAGCTCTATATAGGCGTTGTGTTTACCTTCTAATTCCTTCCATGCTTTGACGAGCTCAGCATAATCGTCTTCAATCACATCTGCTATTCTTCTGTCGTGGACAGATCTCAGCAGCTCATTCCTTTTCCTTGTGAAGATTGTTCTGGCATTCTTCCGGTCTGTTTTTGCTTTTTCTGGATCCATTATCTTTGTGTTCACGTCTCAATGGATTTCGAATGTGACGGTGTGTTAGGACATTAATGTACCAAAAGTTCCAAACCTCGATATTTTATTACAATAAATAACGGATGAAGGTTATGACAAAATCTATGGATATGGATCGGAGATTCGAAATCTGTAAAGTAATGCGTTAACAAATTAGTTTCAGTTCATATCGATAATATCGAAAGAAATCAAGATAAATATTTACCCATTGGTTCTAGGTGTCCATAACACTGTCTAGCGATAGAAAATCTTAACAATTATATCTGTTATGTCATCAAATTATAATGCGCAAAGAAATTAGAATTTTGCGCAATACAGACAGGTTATCCTTTTCTTTTAGAAAGGGCTCAACATCCCCAAAAAACTCCATGACCTGATTGAGGACTTCCCATTTGCTCCACAATCTGGTTTTGGAATGAAGTCACATTGCTGTGCCAGTTCTTGTCTTCCACAACAGCCGAGCAGCTGGACTGAGAGAAAACATGGTGTGTATAGGACACTAAATTCAAAGTGTTTCCCAACATTATCGATTGTGTGTGAGAAACAGATGACATTAAGAATATTGGGGAAGAACAACATGACTTGATGCAGTCCAGCTTAATTTACCGTTGCACCATCTCTCATTGCTGGTAGAAGATGGTTTGTTTGCATTCCATACTCCACAGCCAAGCACTGAATCAGCCTTTGAGCAAGCTCTTCTGCATTCATACTCTTAGCTAGCATTTCTAATTTGAGAAGCCTCTGCTGTATATTCCAATCTTTGTCAATGAAGCGAACGATAATTGCCAATGCTTCTCCAAGTCTGGTGCTCCCATCAAAGATCGCAGAAAAAGCATTGTTGGCAGCTATTTCGGATTTCACAAAGTCTATCTCCTTTAGGCGATGTTAAGCGATGACCATATTTTTCAAGAAATGGTCGCAAACTGTTGACTTTTAAAAGGGGAATACCTGCCTTCAGTAGAGCTTCCACAAGCTCATATCGATAGAGCCTCATGTTTTCAGGTAATGTGGATCCTTTTGCTCCTCCGCTTGTTTTTGCAAGATCCTTGACATTTTGATCTTCTTGCTTTTCTTAATATTCTCCAGCGCTTTGATGTGCTTTATGGATGATACATGTTTCTTGACAGAACTCTTTATTTTGGAAAGAGTTTCTCTGCAGGCGTCATATCTTATATTTCCCAACACTGTAGTTAGGCACTGGTCTTTAAACTCATTCACTCTATCCCACACGAACATATTTGGATCAACTGATCCACGCACATTTCTCTTAGTCTGCACTTTTCTTTTCCGAGAGATACTGGCTTTTTCTTGAGTACTTAATCTAGTACTAGCTGCTACGTCTAAAGGATCTGAATATTCATCATCTTCACTCGAGCACGAGCATGGATAATCACTCACCTCCGTCATTTTGAATTTTTCAGCATATCTGCTGACCACCTTCGGCTGCTACCACAAGCAGACCACCAGGGGAATAGTGATTTTTTGTTTACAAAAGGTATTTTATGCAAAATCATGCATACAAGTGACTGATGCTTTAAATTAGAACTTGTATGAACGGTTTTTTGTTACAAATTGCCTTAAAAAAGCAAGAAAGTTATTCAAAAAAGAAAAATGTTGCATGAAATCCGAAAAGTTGCTTGAAGGACTAAAAGTTGCTCCAAATCTGAAAAGTTGCTCAAAAGTTGCTGAGCAACTTATGGACAGCCTTGGACATTGTGCTTCGTGCATAGGATGTGTAATACACCCCTTTAACTCTGATAAACACAGGCCACCAGTATCCACTTGCTGCACAGTAGGCAATGTCAGCTTTGCACAACCATGTGTGATTGAACAACTTTTCTTTCTTGCCCTTATCTGCCTCTAGCTGCCTGGAAATCTCCTCTCTGCTGAAGGTACAACCTGCATCACAAATATGATGAATTCCTGATTTTCTCCAGGAAAAAGGTCTTCCAAAATCTCTTGTGCATGTGTTTTGGGTGGATTATCCAATCATTTTTTGCTTACATTTTTCAGGGTCACTGAAAGCTGAACATGGGAGCTGTTGTCCTCTTAAACTGATGTCTGGTTGAGTCTGAAAATTTTCAACCATTTCTCTTTCCCAGGGCGTTAATCTTTTAATACATGTAAGTCATTCAGACTTTATAAACGAAAAATTCCAAACAAATATGGTCACTTTGTTTTACAAATATGTTAATTTATACAGAGTGAGATGTGCTGTGGAAGCATTTATTTGTAGTCACCATCTTAAAAGTTTTCTTATAACCTAAATCCTTAAAGTTCTCAAGAGGCCATATCAGACTAAACATTGAAATTTCAGACAAGAATTTACTCTAACATCAAGCTTAGAACAAGTACACAATGAAAACATTAAATAGAATAACCTGTGTATTGTGGTGTGGGGCTTGTGATGCCTTCTTATCTTAGGCTTAAAGAAATCTTGAATAAATAACTTTGAAATATTTACAGAAAGTACAGTCCCATTTTTAAGTGAACTGAGAATGAGTTCAAAGAGACTAAATTGGAAAATCTGTTTATGCAACTTACATTTTGCTATTAATAACCTGCGCTAGAGAAATGACATAGGTGAAATCAACAAGGTCAATTGAATATACAAAAATCACTTGAGTGTGACACCTTTGCTCCTTCAACGGATGTTTTTACTTTAATCTTCAAAGTATTTTCTACCCTTGATTTAAAGGTACAAAACATATATTCATATTAACATAAAAGTCACTTAAAAAATGAAAAGTTGAAGAAAGAAAAAAAGGAAACCAAAACAAAACAAAACAAAAATTAATGTAAAGAGACAAGTTTCTTTCGGTTTTACTATTCATGTAACAATAGAACGTGCAGGAAGGGCTGGCACAAGAAGGGCACTTTTCTGGGAAGGAAATGGGGTCTTCATCATCAATATCAAGGTCATGGACCCACCTGAAAAAGACTCGCCAGCATGGTTTTGATCGAGGTTTTACAACCATTGTCTCCTTCAGAGTTGAATTTCTGCACTTTGTTAATGAGACAGAGACCTACTACTGCCAAAATCTAACAGCAAGGGCAATGTTTTCTGATAAGACGATCATCTTTGCAGATACAGCAAAATTTTAGACCCATACATTCCCAGAGTTTGTGACTGATGCCCTCACAATAAGAGCATATTTTGTTAACACAATTGACATTGGTCAAGGCAGTTGCACCCTTACACATTGTATTATGATCTATTATTTAATCAGGATCTGGCCTTTTCCAAGCAGTTCAAGTATTTTAAGGGCGATCAAAATAACCACAGGAGTAAGAAACAATTTGACACCAAAGCAACAAGTGTTCGATCATGGCCAGGTCGGATAATTTGAAAGGCACATCATCAACAGTAAGATGCATCAAAGCACTCTCAAAATCTTGATCAGCATTTGCGTTGCTAACAATTTGAAGGGCAATCAAGGTTATAATGTGTTCTTTATTGCATTGGATTTAAAAAATAATGTCAATACAACCCTCCTTTTTTTGTAGGACCACTCATTTCTTTTCTCAAAACAGTAACACTACACTCATTGATGCCCATTTGTTCAACAGTGCCAAATATCGGCTGCTCCCCTAATTTCATGTCCCTGGGGGTGTGACCTGTAAGATTCCTGGGCTGTTTTGAAGCAGTGGAAGTTGACAAGCTGGTAATAGTTACACTCGTAGGAGGGTTGTTAGTAGTCTCTGGGATCTGTATTTGACCTTTGAAATTTGCACTAAAGAGGGAGTTGTCTGTGAATTCAGCCATGGTTAAGTCTGAGGTACTGCAGTGTTTCTGGTTTATTGAAGTGCCCATAATGTGAATTTTTTTGTGGGTATTTATTTAGCTTAATGTATGTACAAAACTGATCAGATAGTAAAAAGAATGTAAAGTCGTTCTCCATCAGGCATGGACAGTCTTTAAGGTGTCAAAGATGGTTAGGGGTAATGTCAATAATGCAGATGATAGGTGTGTAGGCACATCATAGAAGCTATCAAAATCCTTAGCCCAATGGAGTCCATTAGTATCTGCAGCGGTATTTTCTGAGGCCTTTTGAGATGTATGTGACTTACTATCGACCAAAGAGGAAGAGTCACTTATTGGAGGAGAGGTGGTGCCTTTAGAATTATCCACATCAGGCTGTGCACATTCCATGCTCTTCTCGATCTCAGCATCATTTATATCTGAAAAGCTCACGGAAACATTCTCAAAATCTCACCATCACAATCTAGCAACAGTTACAAACTAATGAGAAGTACAATTATGTACCTTCACATTCAAATCAAATATACGAATTCTTATAGGAAAATACTGTGTGGTTGAAGAAAGGAGGAAAAAGGGGCAATATTTCAAAAATTTGCCTATGTTTACGTCCTAATTTTGATTAACTTATTATTTCATCAAAAAACTGGCTAATTACGGAACATGGACATTCTATGAGGTCAGGAACATTGCAATAAACAACATTGCTTGTGCTAAATGAAATATCAAACTAGTATTGATACAAATCATATGATTAAGTTTGTTTTTGTCTTACGGATAGACACGACTTGCTGTGTAAGCCCAGTAGTTTAAGAGTTTTTTGGTATCTTCAGTATAGCATCTTGCCGAACCTTCTCTTAGTATAAAACCAGCTGGGTGTATCTTTCCTGATATTTGATGGCTTTACTAACACTGTTCATTAAGGTTAACTAGTTACCTTAAGGATCTTTTAGCTCTGGACTTCTAAATATTTTCTCTAAAAGCCAAAGATTTAAATGCAGTAAATGCTGCTCTCTTTTGACCGACCTTGAAGCCTTGACTTTGTCAAGTCTGCTGGAAATGCCAAAAGCTAATCCTTTTAGTGTTGTTACTTCGCTTTGTTCCTCTGGTGTAGTAACCACTCCCCTCTTTTCCAGTTGCTTTCTTGGTCTAGGGTTACTCACTAAGCTTTTCAGAACAGCTGCCTTTTTGGCTTGTGAAGCTGGGAGGGTAATTTTCACCTTATCAGTAGCACATTTATTTGAGAATTTCTTCTACGTTGTGCTCCTGTCTCTATCTTTGATGATATTTTCGAACTCTCTCTCAACTTTTTGTGGCTTTGTTCACAATGTCCACTAGTAGTTGCGATTCTTCTCCTTTTCTCTGTTATTATCTCAGTCTTCTCCCTATTATGATTTCTTTGCTTTAATGTGTCACCTTTGTCATCTTTCTCAGTAGTTCCTTTTGCTGAAAGTGTATTGGTGGCGAGTTGTGGGCCCCATGATTGTTTGTTGTATCTCTTTGTTTTGTGTATTCATTGTCTTCCAGAGATTTGGTTTTTGCTGCTGCGGCATACCATGAGGGACCATGTGCAGCTATTTTGACATTTACACTGACAAACAGAAAAGGGCTTCTAAAAGTGTCATGTGTGGACCCCCGATGGATAGATCAAAGAGCAGTTCAAGGACAATCATGAATCCGGTGACCAGTTTCTTTGCAGTTAAAACTCCCGATTATTGTCCTCTAGTTAAGGGACCCTCTTCACTGCAGTAGTGACATGAACAGTTATGTGGCAGGAGCAGGGAATATATTTCTCTACTGGTATCGTTGCGCTTTAAATCTGTTTCAATCAAACAGGTCTTGTCAGATAGATGGCACTTTCCCTGGATGGGATTGTTGGTTCCTTTATTTATTTGTTTGTTGGAAAAAATGTCACTAGTACCTCGGTTTGCCCCATACTGGCTATGGCCCCTGGAAAGCATGAGTTTATGCACGTGTCTTTTTTAAAATATGAAAATGATTAAATTATTTTGATTGAAATTTTTTGGCTAACTAACTACCAAAATATTTATTAAGGGTAAGACTCTTGCTCACCCAAAGGCTACACACTACAAAGAAGTTTGTTACGGGTGAGGTAAACTTTATTTTACCAGGGTGGTCCAATCAGCGGTAAGGCTGGCATCCAGAGGGGCCCTGGACCAAATAGTATCATAATTTAAAAAATCCAATAAAGTAATTAAAAAATACAGGATGTAACAATGTTAAAATACAAAATGGTAAAAATTTAGTTTTAATCCAAAATTTTATATAGTTGTGGTGACATAAATACTGGGGTACCAGCTAATTTGAGCATTTATAAACTAAAACACATTTGTGTCTTTTCTATTTCATTCTAACTCAGCCCACTCTAAAACACTGAAAGTGTCTTTAGAGAAGTCATGCCTTAAAGTAATGCGGACAGCATGATTTTGTAACTGTGGAAGGGTTTTTTGCTGGGAGTGGCTGACAGTTCACCCCATGGAGTGTTGTTATAACAGAGGATTGCCTTAGTAACGGTATGAAAGACACACTTTGCTGCCCAAAGAGTAAGGCAAGATCTTATCCATAACTTAAGTCCCAAATGCTTGTTTACTTTGTGACAAGTAGAGCCCGTATGGTCTTTCCAGAGGGGCTATTTATCAGCATAACCCAAGATAACTGATCACTCTCTATGTCCTTGTCTTGGATCTGCAGCACAAAGTCTGATAAGGTTTGCAATAGTTGCCATCTTCCAAAGAGTAGGCTTTTCATTCAGCTCAAGTTTAGCATCCTACAATCAAAAGTACAGTAATATTCTAAGCAAGCCTATCTTAATGGACCTACATTTAATTCCTGTTTCTTTAAATCATGTTTTCTTTCTTTATACTGTTCCTCTCAACCCACCTACTCTTCCCCCGGTCCTCTGTACCTACTGTACCTCTGGTTCTCTAAACCCACAATTCCTCTTTTTCAAGTGTACCTCTGGTCCTCTATTGTTATTGTTCCTCTGGTCCTCTGAACCCACTGTTCCTCTAAACCCGCTTTTCCTCTAAACACACTGTTTTTCTGGTCCTCAATGTGAAGGTGAAGGGGGAGGCCAAACTCATTAGTGTAATCAACAAGGTCATGCAGCGATGCCACATTTTCACCATTAAAGTGCCAAGGAACCCCACATGTCTGTCTAGAGGCAACCGTGTTCTCAATAAAAAATATTGAGTCTCTTGGAGGCAGCCAATGTCGGCACTCACAGAGAGACGGCAACCACTGCACAAAGCCAATCTTTTTGGATTGATTCCAAATCCTTTTACAGAATCCTTGGCCTCCACAGGGGAAGAAAAACTTTGTATGTCTATCACTATTTTCTCTAGTTTTGTCATTACTTTCACTGAGATGACTATTCTTACATTTGCTATTTTGAAGTTTTTCATTACTGTTACTACTATTTCTTACATCACTTTGAGGCATTTCACTAATATTACTATTATTGCTTTCACTAATTTTGTTAGTAATAAAGTTATGTAGAGGGAAAATACCTTAAAAGTTAAAAGAGAGTCAAAATTAAAACTAGAATCTCATCGAACTTTTGTGATTAAATCAGACAGAAATTTAAGAATTGAGGTGCAGAACTTGGTTGGGGTGAAAGCCCTGGGACTGGAATTGTCTTTAAAATAAGACCACCCCAGTCTCATCTGAAGGTGTAAATCTACATTGTTTACTTTTACTAAAGGCAATTACTGCATGGCAAACAGATTCTTTGACAAAATCCCACCATTGATGAATGGAAGAGATTGTATTCTGAGATCATTTGGACAAAAGAAGGATCCTCGAGAAGGTCTAAATTCAGATGCCAAACCCCAGTCTGTGAGAATCAAATTTATGCAAACCAGGACACAATAAATTGAATCATGATCTTAAAAAGACAGGTAACTTTTCACAAGAATCACTGAAGTACTGAATTGGAGGTAATGAGATATTTATCAAAATATGAATCAAGCCTAAATATTGGTCAGATAGAGTAGTAAATTAATCAACCTCATCTAAAAGGCCAAGAATCCGGCCAGGTCTATGCTTTTTCCACGAAAGGAAGAAATGCTTAACTCACTGAATTAGTAGAGCCTCAGTTTTGTAATGTATGAATGTCACCTCAAACCCCTGACTTCTCTCAGGTGGATGATGACTGCTCTGGAGACAATAATTATTTCTAAGGAGGCTTTTTGTGAGAGTTCCTTTCCTTCATCTTCCTTTTAAAGAATTTCTCTGACCTTGGGCTTTGTGATTGGTACAGATGTCATGATCATCTCTATGAACGTAGCTCTCAGCCTATGAAGCTCTGAAGATGAAAATCGGTTATGAACACCACTTGCCTCTGTTGTTTTGGTATATATTTCCCAAGGTCGGTTTATCTTTACGACAAGAGATTTCTCCACTCTTTCTCCTTCTCTTGTTTGTCAGGGAGGTTCACAAGCTCTGATTGTGTGAAGGAAGGAAAAGTGCTACATCCGCATCTTGTCAAGATTATAAATCTAAGCCAATCTAGGATTATTATTATTAGGATGATATACATCAGCCAAATTGATGATTTTGAAGATTCTGAAGCTATTAATACTCAAAATGAAAAATGAAATTTTGCCCTTAATTTTATTTAATTGCAACACAACAACAACAATAACCAAGTTCTTAGCACTAGGCGGGTGTGTAACCAATCGTTACAATTATACATTTTCTCCTATTTTAGCACTGGATCGTACTTTCAAGACCCTGTGCAAATGTATGGCAGTATTTTAAACTTAACGCCCATGAGGGTGTTTTCCATTCAACTACTGAGGTTTCAGAACTAAATTGTAAACTTCTTTAAAAAAAACAAAAAAACTAGGCTATATATTCCTTTCCATAAATTTTCAGCAGTGGCAAAACATTTGATAGAAATTACCCTTGGTCTGGCCCAATCAAAACAAGTTACAAACTTTCAAGGAGGAGTGTCTTTCAACATTGCAACTTCTGGGGTTGACAAGGAAGTTAATTTCTCGCGCTTTCTTTGTGACTGCATGGTTGAAAGGGTAAGTGCTATACTGCATACGTTTGATAAGTACAGTTTATAGAAAATGGTTATGTTAAAGTGTACTCTAAATTATGAAAACTTACCTGAAAAACGTTCCACCAGGACTGGCCTGGCAGACGTTGGTGATGGAAAAAAAAAAAAACCTCACTTTTGTGGCTGTTTAGGCAGAACTTCAATATCATTGATGGAAGAAAGATTTTTATCAAACTTTCTATGATAAAATAGTATTATTCATCTGCAAAAGAACTTGTCAATGCAATGTGGTGGAACCATGTTCTTAGACAGAAGATACAAATAACAGCTTTTAGTGGACATGTCAGTCACAGGGCAGCAGACATGGGGACAGGATGAACCAAAGACAAGAGAATTGCAAGACGTGGCAAACAAACCGTTCAGGCCACACTAGGCCAGAAGGAGAGCGCTGTAAAACGGTGGAAAAGGCCTGGAAAAGACAACAGACGGCAAAACACCAAAAAAAGACAAAACCCAAAAAGACATGAGTGAGGACCAGCCAGGGGAGGAGGAGGCGAACCTCCTCACCCACTGGCCAAGAAGAGCCCACATCTTGTAAAGAACACTGACAACAGAAAACTACCAAAAAGAGGGGACTGGATCATGACAGAGCGTGAAACAAGCTCACACTGGCCAGACCAGAAGAAAGAAAAAGCTAGAGAAGAGAGCTCCTTTGCCACCCAGGCAGGCATGTGGATCAAAGAGGCCACATACCACACCCAAGAGAGGGAAAGAGCATGAATGACCAGGGCCTGGCCACGAGAATGTCACGATTTGAGAACATGGTCCACTGCATCGATACAGGGATGCCAATTGTCATCATCCAAATCCCCAATAGCAACAAAAACACCCAGAACCTTTATTTTGAAAGACGACCAGTCAACAACGACAGGAGGGTCAGAGTGGCCACACCAGCCCCACAAGGATGACCACATGCAAGAGAATGAAGAAAGGCGAGATGTTGCCATTAACATTAATGCTAGACTGTACTGATGATAAAAGAGGTCCACCCAAGCCACAAAGGACCAGCCAAAACCCATCACTGCAAGAGTGGACCACTGCGCTGAGAAAGATAGAGACAGCCAGAATTAAGGCAGGAATTAAGTACAGAAACAAGATCATAGCCCATAACAGACCAAAACTTAAGATAGAAGTCCATGGGAAGGCCATCAAGAC